GGTGTACGTCTTTGAGTTCACTGGTCAGGTGTTCATGGTCGGAGATACATTGAGTTCTATGGTGTAGCGTTTTGATGAGGGAGGCATGCCATACATAGCAGGGGTCACCAAAAAGATCTCCAAAATCGTGAGCAAACACAAGATCCAGGTTCGATTTAACACAGTACATAAAATTTGTGATCTGATCCCATCTGTGAAGGATGTAATCCCTGACATGCAGTACCCCGGCGTCTACAAACTAAGTTGTGTCTGCGGCAGTAGTTACATTGGAGAAACCAAGCAACATGTCTTGGACCGTGTTCGTGAACATAAGGCAGATCTGAAATACGGTAGGACCAATACCTCGGCCGTGGCTGATCATTGTTTTAATGCGGTGGGCTCACACGAAATTGATTTCTCCAAGATGAAGGTACTTTGCAAACCCACTGGCTATCAACAAAGAATCATTCATGAAGCCATCCATATACACAGACACAATTACAATCAAGAAGATGGGTATAAACTGAGCAATCATTGGAAGGACGTTATCAACCAGTTTAAGTCATAACTGGCTGTGATGTTCCCATCCTACCACCTTCCGATGTTAGTTGTTTTTTCCGGCTCTCTGATTTTACATTAACAGGTTAAATTTCTCACCCTAACACAGCCACCTCGCTCACTGAGCTCGAGATTTTTTGCTTTGCGATCTTCCATTAACATGCTAATCTCTCATGCTAACATAGCCACCTCAGCGTGCCCGCCATGGAGGCCGCTCAACGATCTTACATTATCATGCTAATTTTTACTGGGCAGCCCTTTGATTGGTGGGCAAACCCCCCACCATCGCGGTTGCTGCCCACCACTTAGATTAACATTGGCTGCTGACATTTGGGCTACGCCCATTTCCAAGCTTCATAAACAGTTTACCTTTAGAAGCTAACCCCCTCTTCCTGACGATGAACGCTTGTGTTGCGATCGAAACGTCATAGTTTTTTGTTATTTTTTGTTATTTTCTTTTAACCCATCTACGTGACTTTACCGAAAGACCCAAAGAATATGAATTCCTGCAGCTGCAAAAGCTTTAAGTCAAGATATTGACGCGATTGTTATCAATCAGAGTAACAGTCCAATTTTCGACAGCCTAAAATCGGTTCTAGCCAAAGGGTTAGATTTCGCAGTCACCCCTAAACACATCCCAGTTGATGATATTATTGCCCAGGTCGATGTAGCCCTTAAGGGTTTGGGACATATTACTGCAGACATGGCAAGATCAGAAACTACTGCAATCCTCAAAAACGTGAAGACACATATTAGCAACATCAGTAAGGATGAGCGTTTTGAGCTTTCTCAATTAAAAAAGAGAGAGTACATCGTCACCTTACAGCCGACAAGGGCAATGCCACAGTCATCATGGACAAAACCACATACAATAACAAAATTCAGGACCAACTTAATAATGTTAGCTATACCAAAATTAAAAGAGATCCCACCAACCGCCTTGTTACAAAAAGCAACAATATCATCACTGATTCGATATCTTTAATGGAACCAACCAAGCGGTTTTCTTTAAAACCCTCTGCTGCTAGACCACCCAGATTGTATGGCTTACCAAAAATCCATAGAGACGGGACACCCCTTCGTCCTATCGTCTCCACCATTGACTCACCCACATACAAACTGGCCCGATTGCTGTCTGAGACATTACAACCATTCACTGGTAAGACCACCTCAGCTGTACTTAACTTAGCTCACCTGGTATCGTTAATTAAGGACATCTAACTATCTCCAGGTGATTGCTCGTTAGTTTCGATGTGGTCTCTTTGTTTACCAAAGTTCCTGTGCCTGACACCATTGCAATCATTGAAGATTTGGTCCAACAAGGACTGAATGTTGATGTAATGGCCCTGGTGAGACACTGCCTCACCAACACTCACTTCACCTGGAATGGAACATTCTGCAAACAAGTTGAAGGTTCTCCCTTATCTCCAGTTGTAGCCAATGTTTTCATGGAAAATTTGAAACAGATGCCATCCAGGCATCCACGCTACGTCCTTCCTTATGGAAGAGGTACGTAGAAGACACGTTCGTCATCTGGCCACATGGCCGACCAGACTCTGAACCAATTCCTCAACCACATCAATTCCATAAACCCAGCTATCAAATTCACCATGGAGATATAAAAGGATGGCAAGTTACCATTCTTGGATGTTTTAATCAAAAGGAGACCAGATGACTCAATGGGACACTGTCTACAGGAAAGCCACCCATACGGATGCATATCTAAAACCTGACTCCCACCACCATCCTGCCCAGAAGAATTCCCTCATCAAAACTCTACACCATAGAGCTCGATGTATTTCCGACCATCATCACCCAGCCAGTGAACTGCAACACACACACCAAGCTCTCAAGATGATTGGATATTCAGACTACGCAATCCGTAAAGCTATCACCCCAACCGTTGGGAAAGAACCATCTGAGGACCCAATCAAAACCATCACCTTGCCATACATAGCAGGAGTCACCAAAAATATCTCCAAAATCATGAGCAAACAGAAGATCCAGGTTCGATTTAACACAGTACATAAAATTTGTGATCTGATCCCATCTGTGAAGGATGTGATCCCTGACATGCAATACCTAGGCGTCTACAAACTAAGCTGTGTCTGTGGCAGTAGTAAACATTGGGGAAACTAAGCGACATGTCTCGGACCGTGTTCGTGAACATAACGCAGATCTGAAACACGGGAGGACCAATTCCTCGGCCGTGGCTGATCATTGTTTTAATGCGGTGGGCTCACACGAAATTGATTTCTCCAAGACGAAGGTACTTTGCAAACCCAATGGCTATCAACAAAGGTTTGTTCATGAAGCCATCCATATTTATAGACACAGACACAATTTCAACAGAGAAGATGGGCACAAACTGAGAAATCATTGGAAGGACGTTATTAACCAGTTTCAATCGTAACTGGCTGTGATATTTCCGCGCCGTCGTCTGGGACGCCGCCCTCCGATCATACATTAACATGCTAATCTCTCACATTAACATAGCCACCTCCATGCCCTTGTCATGGAGGTCGCTCTGTGATCTTACATTAACATGCTAATCTCTCACATTAACATAGCCACCTCCACGCCCTCGTCATGGAGGTCGCTCTGTGATCTTACATTAACATGCTAATCTCTCACATTAACATAGCCACCTCCACGCCCTCGTCATGGAGGTCGCCCTCCGATCTTACATTAACATAATCTTTCACATAGCCACCTCCGCGTGCTCGTCGTGGAGGTCGCTGTGATCTCACATTAACATGCTAATTTATCACATTAACATAACTAGCCCCGCCCACTTCTCTTATGACCCCTGGGCTACACCCATTATAAACCTTTAAAACAGTTTGCCTCAGCAGCTTTCCTCTCTTCTCCTCCTGATGACAATTGTGTTGTGATCGAAACGTCGGAGTATGTTTGTTATTTTCTTTCAACCTATCTACGTGACTTTACCGAAAGACCCAAAGAATATGAATTCCAGCAGTTACGAAAGCTTTAAGTCAAGATATGAGCCAAGGATGTCTGTGTGCAACGCTCGTGACGTCGCTCCACGTCGACCAGCCCCCCTCATTAATAATCATTAATAATCATGAACAGGTTACGTCCTACAAATGGACACCCCACCCCCCCCCCCCCCCCCCCCCCCATTAATAATCATGAGCAGGTGACGGCCTCCAAATGGACACCCCCCCACCCCATTCATAATAATTAGCGGGTGACATCACTCCACATGGGGGGGGGGGGGGGGCGAGGCGCCTCCTCCCCCCTCCTCGGCGTCAACTTACAACCCTCACTACAAAGGCAGAACCCTCATGTCACATGATCTCCGTAACGCTGTTGAGACATCAAAGTAAAAAGGACGTCATGATGAACAAGGGATTATATTCTTAAAATGAAATAAGCCTGAGTCACCGCGCCCTTACAAATTGCACACGAATTGACGCAATGAATACCACGTCGCGGTCTGCTTTTTGCTTGCAAGTTTAAGATTTACTGCAATACACCCGTCCTTGGACGGGCAAAAGGCAAGTTTCTGATCAAATGAATAAGCAGACAACATGCTCATGTGGTGTGTAAAACGTGTTGTGTATATCAGGGATCAATAAGTGGGAGCCGTGCGTTATCTGCCGTGACTTTCTCTACAATACTATTATTTTTGTAATAAAAAAAAACATTTGGGTTGAGCTTGTACCCATTTATCGAGGGGCCATTGCCTATAAACATGTTAGTTCACCAGTAGGGTCACGGCAAGCATATCAGCTGGCAAGACACTGAATATCGAACCTCGTCCAGAGTTTTGCTTGTGCTGAACCAATGCAACTTTAGTTATATGCTTTCCAGAATGTCGTATGGTTGACGAGTGGAGGGACAGATGTGCGAGATTTGTCTGCAGCTTATTTCAATAAAATGTTCGTGGTAAATGATGCCCTGGACACCCATCCCGGAGAAATATTTTACTTTGAAAATACGCAATCCTGGACAACAGCCCGTTCAATCCACGGGTGCATACCTGTCAACCCCTGATCAGTGCCTACCTTATTCCAGACCAATTCAGACCTTATTGGTCACCCCGTGCCCTTATAAATCTCAACGTTCATCCGACAAAGTCCCATCACAAGGGATAAACAAAAATACACGCAAATTTAGCGATAACAAGGTAATACCGATCGCATTTACACACATCTGCTGCTGTCAAATTTAGCCCGGTTGTACACCGTATGAACCTGAAAATTCCTGTAGAAGATTACAGGTAAACCTTATAGGTATGCGGGTGAGAGTTTACGATCTCACTAGGACACCCATACTTACTTTGACTTGCAATGTGTTTTCATTTACGTTTGGAGTCGTACGCCAATCGTAGCCTGCCAGACATACAAATCGCCACGAGGGTTTCGCGCACTGGCCGACGGAGTCGTTTTCAGAAACTGCCGGAAACAGGATTCGAGGAAATGACGGGAGTCTGTCACTTGGCGCGTTAAATAGCGTTTTTATTCAATCTCATCGGACATACAGCACAAAGAATTTACCTTGAGAGAAAAAAGAAATCACATTTATCAAAGCTCCGTAATGAAAAAGCATGAATCTTATTACTTCATCATCTTTATTACTGTATCATATTGTTACCATTAAAACTACATTTTACTACTGCGACCATGCACGTGCTCCCGCGTGTCTCATTGACCAACCCAGACCAGGTCAGGACCACATCGGCCCAGTCCGACCAAGGCTACACAAATGACCCTCGCAACATCCTCAAGGACGTGGTGTGAACCTGCTGCAATAACCGTGGAGAAACACACTGCTGCCACCAAATCATGATTGGTTTGGGAACCCAAGGTGCGTGGGTAATGGGTCGATACTATTGATGTTACTCAGGCGAGGAGTATGGCTCTCGGGTGCCTTTTTGGGGTTGTACCGTGTTGTGTGGAACACTTGAATTATTTCTGAAGAAGCTTCCAGCACATGGAGGAAAACATCGGACATTGTGCCGAACAACAAATGGTACAACCAGAAAACATATCAGAGAAATATCTTTAATTTACTCAGGAAAGCCTCGCCGAGTCTCGTTTTTCATGAAGGTCCTGCATTTTGTGACGTTTGGCAAATTCATTTTAAAGAAGTTTTTCTTGTGGAAGGAAGCTTGAGAACACGGAAAAAACCCACCCCACGCACACGAGGCGGTAACACTCAAAAGGTCCGCACAGACGGATTCAAAAACCCACTTGCTGTCCTGCCACCTCTAGTATGATCACCTCCTTACGGCCCAGCAAATTTGGGAGTTTCACAATCTCTTTGCGATCCACCACCCCTCCCCGCTAAAGATCCGGATCACAGGCGTACACGTGCAATTGGGATATTAACGGGCACGCCGTGATGAGGTGGTTGGGTGCTTCAAATGTCAAGAGCACTGCGCCGGCCCTGCTGGGATACTTGGTTCCAATCCGTGTTTCAGCCACTGCCTGTGATCAAACCGGGTTCTCAAGTGTGAGCGAATTGATGGTCCCAGGCCAGTCACCAATGACTGAACAAATAAACCGTCAAGATAAATTTGTTTCTGCAACAAAATTTGGTTAGAATACCAGCTCTATGAATTGTAAAATATCAGTTTGCCTGCCATGCGATAAACCTCACTCCCACATTCACAACGAGTGGAGGGCTCGCTGCCCTCCCACTGTATGGGTCAAGTGGTCACTTGATGTGATCTCAGAGGTAGCTCCACGGGATCCACTTTTACGGATTTTTCATCTCACATGAAGCGTAGCTACTCCTCTGCAAAACATCCGAATGGCTTATTTACAATCGTGTTACAAGTTGGAGAAATTTATTTTTTAAATGGCTGCGACAAAGCTTTGGACCAATTACATAACCATACTTATAAGGAACCGCAGCACCAAACATCACGAGTTGCCGGCACTCACTTTTAGGAGGAACTCGCTTCATGGTTTTGGCATAAATCCCTCCCTACCCTTGCCTTTTCAAATTCCTTACTTCATTTAAGATCTCCTTTTTCTTGCACGTGTGGTAAGCAAACCCCTGTGAGAGTCTTTGCTATATTTCCGTGTTACCTGCTGCCATTGTTACTTAAATGGTGCACGACCTGAATGTGGTTTTCCTCGAATGTGTTTCCTACTTAAGTGTCTGTAATGTATTGATTTATATACTATAACTTTACGTCAACAAGATCCTGAACGGGTGATTGTCGTTAAATAGCTTAAGGCTGAATATTTCTTACCCGCATCAGCAAATAAAATCAATCAACGGTCTGCAGCAGTGTCCTTGACAACAAGTAGCAGTGTTTGGCATCGCCCATTATGCTCTGCGTCCTCCTACGCGAGGTCACCGACAGGGTCACGAGGTTAGCGACACGGGTGTTACGATGGCACCGCCCATTGTCCATAAACATCCTAATTCAAGGTTTGCGTTAGGCGAGCACCGATGGCGTCACGAGGTCATGGGCGCCATACTGATAGGATCACGAGGTCACGGGCGACACGGTGAGAGCACCGGCGCAGGTTCAAGCGTCTCATCGCGAGCTCCCCGCCACGCCGACTTACGGCCGCACGGCGTCTCCGCCCCACCCACCCGCCCCAGCTCTGATATGTCGTTATCGCCATCATCGTAGTCGTTGTTAATGCTGGGGCCATTGCTGCTGCAGATATGATTTGCGGAGATGGGGTTGGGGATCCGGGGGGCATGCGTGCATGCGTGTGCGAGTGCGCGTGTTATATATTCATTCTGTGTACACCCGTGTGTGCACTTAATAGCTTTTTTTTTTCCCTCACCCACATGAGACAAAAAAACGAAGACAAAAAATGAAGACGTTGAGATTTGTGTCTAACATCGAAATTATTTTCTACCTCATTTACTACACCCACCGCGACTGAAATGCTACGAGGAGTACAGTGATCAACACCGGCAGAAACTGGGCTGGGCAACCGCCACCCCCCCCCCCCCCCAGCAGTGCTAAACACGTCAGCGGTTTTTATTTTAGTCTTAGGTCCGGTCAACGGCAATCTGTGGAGTTTTAGTCGAGCCACAGTCTGCGGATTTCACCGAGTCGTCCTCTGCGTGTGATCAAACAAAGCAGTCAAAAATTTAGTCCACTGGTTCATGGGCCTCTTGAGCGAGTCTATGGACTATTTGGACTCTTACTCACGCAGAGACCCAGAGACCCACATGGAGTTTCATAAAGTCTTAAGAGTCTGTGAGTTTCATTCAGTCGTCCTATTGGTTGAGTGGCTAGAGCAGTCACACATTTGGTCACACGCTCCGAGTTGTTCAATGTCCGAGTGAGGGGCGCGCGATTCCCACCCCCTCACTACTGTCAGCTCAGGCAATCAGTGAACTCGGTAAATCTTTGATTACAGCCAATTAGCATATCTTGGTCTTCCTCAGTGGACTGCCGTCTCTAATAGCGCCACTAAATTATCTCGGTCTGCGTCTTCGCTCAGGCTCGCTAATTCCGTCGCGTCGCGCGTTCCGGTCTCTGGCGGGCAACATTCACAGGCACCGTCGACTAAAATGAAAGACGCCGATTTCGTTTCCGAGATTACCACTGCCCGGCTGCCGGGCTACGTACGGTGGGCACGGGGAGGGGATGAGAGCTTGGTCAGGTGGTGCTCATCCTCCCAGCGCCCCGCCAGCTGGCCCCGGCCAGGGGCTAGTACCTAAACACACGCACGCGCACGCACGCACACACATACACACGCATGGACGCGCACACACGCACGCACACCGGCAACCTGCTGTTAGCAATCAACATCCATTAGCAGCAGCAGCAGCAATGATCTACTGGATGAAGGCCTCCCATATCTGTCATCCCCACCTCGCGGTCACGCAAGGCCACGGGGCCAGCCAACCAAAGGGGGCAAAAGCTGCAAGGAGCATTTTAATAATTCAAGAGTTTGCACAGTTTTCTAGACGGCAACCATTTGTGCATTTGGTATTCGTGCCATTCATACAGCACAAGGCTGTCACGGAAAGGCAGGGCACAGTGTGCTAGTAGTGGGCGATGATGCCGTGTGGTCTTAACTAATTAAGTAATTAGGTTGAGTAATATTTAGCCAATTTAGCAAATTTGATCCGTGACGCTGGAATGCAACGCTCCTCTCATTTTGAACGTCACCGGATCTCCAACGTCCACGGCAAGCAAACCGAACGGCGGTGCACATTAATTTCCGGCTAACATGCGAGCACGCCGCAGTATTGACCAGGCCAGCCTTTCGGATTGGAACCGTGAAACTCTGCAACAAGGGGCACTGCTGCTGGGCCGCGTCACCGCCCCAAAAAGGAATCGGCGCGACGGAGTGCGCCCATGGACAGTATCGCGCGCGCACACACGCGAGCGCACACACGCGAGCAACAGCAGCAGCGACGACGACGAGGTGTGACCAATGGCGGGGTCATTGGCAGGCAGCTCGTCGCTACTCGGCGGCGGTGGTGGTGGTGGCAGGAAGCCTGGCACTCTGATTAAACCGCCTTACACCGCCGCGACAAATCACTTACACTCGCACACGGGCCTCCCGGCTTAGCCCCGTGCTCCCGGATCAGACTCAACTGACTGGAATGCGGCTGTGGGCGACTTGGCACGCCGACTTGGCACTGGGTTGGTTATGCGCGTCACACAGACGACATGTGACTGCGTGGTTGTCCAACTCTTAACGCTTCCTGTAACTGATGAGGGACCCAAAGTGAAACCCGGGTGTGTGTGTGTGTTTGGATATGGAGAGTTTTGCCGAAGTGCTTAGTGCACTGCTCTACGAACTTGGTAACCCGAATTCGACTAACATCTGTGACGAATACATTCACCGGTCTGGGCCCTCTCTAGGTCGACTCAGCTTAAAATGACTACCTGGTGCAGTGTATAAACATCAGGACTGGGGTGGCTAAAATGACCGGGCGTGATGCTCACCACACCACTCCCTCGAGCGCCATGTTGGCCTTCACTGGTGCTCGCTAACAGCACTTGACCAAGAGCCTGTTTGAGGCTACACGGGGGATCCATGTGTAATTAGAATGCGTTTATATAGCAGCTGCACGATCTGAAAAACACAGTTGTGTAAAGATGTTTTCAGCCGATTAACATGTGTTTTACACGTGACAAGAAACCTAGAGAAACCCCACACGTGCGAGGGAGCAGCATTAGATACCGTACAGCTGGAACAGATGGAGATTGGTCCCCACTTTGCTGTACAGCATTCTCCTGGCAAGCCAGGGCATAGCTCCTCGTTAACGCTCACGGGAACGGAGTTTGGCAACATCAATGAGATCCACAAACCCTCGCTGTATGTTGAACTTCTTTCGCACTGTACGTAGCCAACGGTGCTAACTGGAGGTGCCATTAGCACATGTGGAGGCTGCTGTCTCCGAAGCGCTGGATTGCAGGCGGCAACGTGCAGCAGCGTAGCCATCACCACTGCCGCCTCCTGGCTGACTGTGTGGGTGTGAGTGGCACTCGCCTGTAGTAGTTGGGCTTGAAGGGCCCGTTCTTGTTGATGCCCAGGTACTTGGCCTGCTCGTCCGTCAGTTCTGTCAGGTGCGCGTCGAACGTCGGCAGGTGCAGACTCGCCACGTACTCATCTGTGCACAAAGACAAAGATCCCCCATGTAGCCTCAACGGAACCATTGGGGCAACCGCTGTTTGTGAGTAGCGCCTATGAAGGCCGGCACGGCACACGAGGGTGTCGGTGGCCAGCACCATGCCCAGCTGCCTTTGTCTCCCCAGTAGCGATGCTTACGCATCGTACCAGGTACTCATTTGAAGCTGAGCCGACCTAGGCGAGGCCCAGGACTGTTTCTGATAATTGTCTGGTGTCGGCCATGAGCGGGAATCGAACTTGGGTCGCCGAACACCAGATTCATAGTGCAGCACACTAACTGTTGTGCCACCACTCGTCTGTGTACACACATACTCGCATGTGTACGCACATACGCTCATTGTACACATACGCGTATGTGTACACGCATACGCGCATGTGTACACACATACGCGTATGTGTACACGCATACGCGCATGTGTACACACATACGCGTATGTGTACACGCATACGCGCATGTGTACACACATACGCGTATGTGTACACGCATACGCGCACACACACATACGCGCATGTGCGCACACATACGCGTATGTGTACACACATACGCGCATGCAATAATTTGAAATGCATGGAGATGCACGCATCCATTTACACACACGGCTGTACAGTGACACGCATGCGACATGTGTACAGCTGAGCAAGTAGGACCGTGTGTAAATAAGTGGGTCATCAGGCGAATGGATGAGCAGGCGAGGGTGAGCAGTTTCGCATGTGGGCGAGCGAGAAACTGGGCGGGTAAGCAGGTGAGCGGGGAATCAGTTCGGCAAGTGACCAAGTGACCGGCGAGCGAGACGGTGAGCAGTTGAGTGGACGGCTGAGCAAGTAAGCGAGTGAAAGCAAGCGGACGTCGCTGGCGCACGTTACCCATTTTCTTGGGCAGCAGGTAGACGTCCTGCTTGTAGCGGCCCTCCGGGGCGTTGTACAGCTCAATCAGTGCCAGTGCCTGCCGGGGCGGTGACAGCAGTGAAGGGGCGGGAGAAACGGGGGGGGGGGTTGGTGTGGAGAAAGGGAAGGATTTAGCACGGGGTGGAGAGGTCACCGTTCAACAGCCGACTCGTGTCTATCGCCAGAGTTAATGTACAAGGCCGCGGCATTGACCTATGATCTGATGGTCAGGAGGAGAGGGTCATTGGGCAGAAAGGACACCGAAAGCGTACCTGCGTGGTGGCGGTGATGGACAACACGAAGGACGGGACGCTGGAGCAGCTGAGGTTGAGCAGGCGACCCTGAGTGCGACATGCATACGTTACCCAGCATTCCCCACACCACCCAGCATCCTCCACACAACAAATACAGTCGAGCAAGTGCCTGTGCATGTGGTACGGCGTGGCATGGTGCGATTGCTGTGTGTGGCTGTATGGTTTGATGTTGCGGTATGGCTGCTGGTGTTGGTCGGTTCTCGGTGTGTATGTGTGTGTGTGAGAGCGCGGTGTTTATGTGAGTGTTTATGTGAGTGTGTGTGTGAGAGAGTGGTGTGTATGTGAGTGTGTGTGTGAGAGCGGTGTTTATGTGTGTGAGAGCGGTGTGTGTGTGTGTGTGAGAGAGCGGTGTGTATGTGAGTGTGTGTGTGAGAGCGGTGTGTGTGTGAGTATGTGTGTGTGTGAGAGCGGAGTTTATGTGATGTGTGTGTGTGAGAGCGGTGTGTATGTGAGTGTGTGTGTGTGAGAGCGGTGTTTATGTGAGTGTGTGTGTGTGAGAGCGGTGTGTATGTGAGTATGTGAGTGTGTGAGAGCGGTGTGTATGTGAGTGTGTGTGTGAGAGCGGTGTGTATGTGAGTGTGTGTGTGTGAGAGCGGTGTGTATGTGAGTGTGTGTGTGTTTGAGAGCGGTGTTTATGTGAGTGTGTGTGTGTTGAGAGCGGTGTTTATGTGAGTGTGTGTGAGAGCGGTGTTTATGTGAGTGTGTGTGTGAGAGCGGTGTTTATGTGAGTGTGTGTGTTTGAGAGCGGTGTTTATGTGAATGTGTGTGTTTGAGAGCGGTGTTTATGTGAGTGTGTGTGTGTGAGAGCGGTGTGTATGTGAGTGTGTGTGTGTTTGAGAGCGGTGTTTATGTGAGTGTGTGTGTTTGAGAGCGGTGTTTATGTGAGTGTGTGTGTGAGAGCGGTGTTTATGTGAGTGTGTGTGTGAGAGCGGTGTTTATGTGAGTGTGTGTGTTTGAGAGCGGTGTTTATGTGAATGTGTGTGTTTGAGAGCGGTGTTTATGTGAGTGTGTGTGTGTGTGAGAGCGGTGTTTATGTGAGTGTGTTGCGAGCGGTGTTTATGTGAGTGTGTGTGTTTGAGAGCGGTGTTTATGTGAGTGTGTTGCGAGCGGTGTTTATGTGAGTGTGTGTGTGTGAGAGCGGTGTTTATGTGAGAGTGTGTGTGAGAGCGGTGTTTATGTGAGTGTGTGTGTGTGAGAGCGGTGTTTATGTGAGTGTGTTGCGAGCGGTGTTTATGTGTGTGTGTGAGAGCGGTGTGTATGTGAGTGTGTGTGAGAGCGGTGTTTATGTGATGTGTGTGTGAGAGCGGTGTTTATGTGAGTGTGTGTGTGAGAGCGAGCGGTGTGTATGTGAGTGTGTGTGTGAGAGCGGTGTGTATGTGAGTGTGTTTGAGAGCGGTGTTTGTGTGAGTGTGTGTGTGAGCGGTGTGCAGGTGAGTGTGTGTGTGTGAGAGCGGCGTGTATGTGTGTGTTTGTGTGTGTGAGAGCGGTGTTTATGTGTGTGTGTGAGACAGCGGTGTTTATGTGAGTGTGTGTGTGTGAGAGCGGTGTGTATGTGAGTGTGTGTGTGTGAGAGCGGTGTTTATGTGAGTGTGTTGCGAGCGGTGTTTATGTGTGTGTGTGAGAGCGGTGTGTATGTGAGTGTGTGTGAGAGCGGTGTTTATGTGAGTGTGTGTGTGAGAGCGGTGTTTATGTGAGTGTGTGTGTGAGAGCGAGCGGTGTGTATGTGAGTGTGTGTGTGAGAGCGGTGTGTATGTGAGTGTGTTTGAGAGCGGTGTTTGTGTGAGTGTGTGTGTGAGCGGTGTGCAGGTGAGTGTGTGTGTGTGAGAGCGGCGTGTATGTGTGTGTTTGTGTGTGTGAGAGCGGTGTTTATGTGTGTGTGTGAGACAGCGGTGTTTATGTGAGTGTGTGTGTGTGAGAGCGGTGTGTATGTGAGTGTGTGTGTGTGAGAGCGGTGTGTATGTGAGTGTGTGTGAGAGCGGTGTTTATGTGTGTGTGTGAGAGCGGTGTTTATGTGAGTGTGTGTGTGAGAGCGGTGTGTATGTGAGTGTGTGTGTGTGACAGCGGTGTTTATGTGAGTGTGTGTGAGAGCGGTGTTTATGTGAGTGTGTGTGTGAGAGCGGTGTGTATGTGAGTGTGTGTGTGTGAGAGCGGTGTTTATGGGATGTGTGTGTATGAAAGCGGTGTGTATGTGAGTGTGTGTGTGAGAGCGGTGTTTATGTGAGTGTGTGTGTGTGAGAGCGGTGTGTATGTGAGTGTGTGTGTGTGAGAGCGGTGTTTATGTGAGTGTGTGTGAGAGCGGTGTGTATGTGAGTGTGTGTGTGAGAGCGGTGTGTATGCGAGTGTGTGTGTGCGAGCGGTGTGTATGTGATGTGTGTGTGTGAGAGCGGTGTTTATGTGAGTGTGTGTGTGAGAGCGGTGTGTATGTGAGTGCGTGTGTGAGAGCGGTGTGTATGTGTATGTGAGTGTGTGTGAGAGCGGTGTGTATGTTAATGTGTGTGTTTGAGAGCGGTGTTTATGTGCGGTGCACGAGTGCAGCGTCTGACGATCACAACAACGAGCAGGCCGCCGGGCCGCTTAAGTGCAGCAAGTTGGCACAGCGGGGGGAGCACACAGTTGGTGCACCCCGCCATTCATCTCAGTGAGTCAATCCATGGCATCTGAGTGTCCCCCGTGACCTCCTGCCAGCAGCGGGCCTTCCGACACTTCACATGATGGCGTCAAAGTGCACCGAGCTTGGCACAAGCGCAGTAGCGAGGTCACCGCCACGGTACGGTGGTTGCTGCTGCGTTAGTGACGCACCTCGGCCAGCAGCAGGATGCGCTTCCCGTCGGGCCAGATGATGTGGTCGACCTGCGAGCGCACCCGCTCCCACGTGAGATCCGGCGTGCGCAGACTCGCCTGGGGGCGTGGGGCGGGAGGGGACGGGGGGGGGGGACACACACACGATGATTCAACACACACCAGCGAGCACGAACGAGAGAGTGTGACCGAGTGAACGAGCGAGTGAGTGAGCAGCCGCGTGTGCTCACCACGTCGATCTCCGTGTTGGAGTGGCCCATGTTGCACACGATGCAGCCGTTCTTCAGCCGGTCCAGGTGTTCGCGTGTCACCACGTTCTTGTTACCTGCCGCACCGGCGATGTTAACAATCACTCACGTGGCCCCCGCCCCCCCTGTGCCCCGATGCCCCCCCCACCTGCCCCCGGCCCCCCACCCAAGTGCTGTGGTGACGTCACCCCCACTTCATGGAAAATCCGATTGTTAATGTTGTAGGTGACTGTGTGAGCAATTGTGGGCGAGTGTGAGCGAGTGTGAGCGAGTGTGAGCGAGTGTGCGAGCGTGTGTGGGCAAGTGTACGACAGTCTGAGCGAGCGATAGCGAGCGTAGGAGAGAGTGCGTTACCCGTGCAGGTGATGACGATGTCCACCTGTCGGATCACCTCACTCAGCTTCACCACCCGGAAGCCGTCCATGCTGCAAGAGAGGGACGCGGTGAGTGCGTGCGTGCGTGAGTGCGTGTGTGCGCCTGTGCGCCTGTGTGCCGGTGTGTGTACGCGCGAATATTTGAGCGAGTGAAAAAAATAGTTTCCGAGTGTGCAGGTGTGTGAGCGAGTGTGTGCGAGCGAGCGTGTGCGAGCGAGTGTGTGTCAGCGAGTGTGTGTCAGCGAGTGTGAGCCAGTGTGCGAGTGTGTAAATGCACCAGGCTTGGAGGGCGCAAATCGGGTCGACCTCGGTGACATAGACCACGGCGCCCATGCCCTTCAGGGCGGCGCAGCACCCTTTACCCACCTACACAAAGACAACAAAAACAAAGATCCCACCCCCTCGTGTAGCCTTAACAGACTGTTGGGGCAAGTGCTGTTAGCGAGTACCTACGAAGGCTGGCACGGCACATGAGGGGTTGGGTGGCCAACACCACGCCCGGCCGTCTTTGTCTCCCCAGCGTCGATGTTTACGCACCAAATCGGGTACTCATTTAACGTCGAGTCGACCTAGGAAAGGCCCAGGACCGGTCCGGATATTCGCCACTCGTGTTGACCGTGGGCACGAATCAAACTTGGGTCACATAGGTTCATAGCCCAGTGCCAAGCATTGCCACATCGCTCCCCCATACGCATGCACACACATATGTACACACGCAACAAAGTGACATGCAAATGTGAAAACAAACACGCACACACTGAGAAAACCTACACACACGCCACACACGCCGAGCGTCCAAATCAAACCCAAGTGATTCCTGCTCGAATGAGCATTGATGCAGTGCTTTTCTCCTGTTCACAGCCATGAGCCAATGGTGTAAATCCCTCATTCCTATGGCAGGGGCGAGTCTACCCAAAAGGCCAACCCATTGTTGACCTCTCCACAAAGTGCTCACATTATCAACCCCGGGAAGGATGATGAGTCAACCCCTAAAGCAGGAATCAGATTTCTAAACGATGAGAAAAACTCATCGTATACAGAGCCACTCGGCGGCCTACGTACATTATGCAAAACCGTTGAGCATGAAGAACTGCACCGTGCTCTTGCCTTACCCAGGATGTAACGTCGCAAACCTCTCGACCGTGAGCCACTCGCCCGCTCTTGCGCTGAGCCGCCGCCTCTCGGGACGGATAAAGCTCCCTAGTTTCGTTTTGTTTCTTAGAAGATTATTTCCCAGGATTTTTGGGAGGCGACCGAGTGAGGCTCAGAGGTCAGAGACGCCAAGTCGGCACCGCCGAGAACCAGAGTTCCATCCGCGTTTCAGCCACAGCCTGGATTTTAACCGGGTTCTAAAGTGTAGTGAGTTGACGGCCTCAAACAGGTCATCGCGACACCACATTCATTTCAGCTTTGAGAATTAAATTATCGGTTTAACGGTCATGATATGAACATGGCTATCTGTGGTAGGGCAGATGGAGAACTAGTGCCCTTTGCTATATGGACCAGAGGTCAATTGAAGGAATCTCAGAGGTAGCTCTGTGATATCCGCTTCCACGGGCCATTCTCGAATACAAAGGGCTGCGCTGATCTGCGCAATTTGGTTATTCGTCTCACAAGGTGACACCAGGACACGCGACTCCGCTCACCTCTCCGTAGCCACACACCACCACCTGCTTTCCTCCAAACATGATGTCCGTCGTTCTCTTGAGCCTGGGGGCAACAAGGGCACACGGAGCTCACAGCTCACATTGTGGGTATGGTGGGCGAGTCTGTGGGTCTCTCTGCGAGTCTGTGGGTCTCTGTGTGAGTCTGTGGGTCTCTGTGCGAGTCTGTGGGTCTCTCTGTGAGTCTGTGGGTCTCTCTGTAAGTCTGTGGGTCTCTCTGTGAGTCTGTGGGTCTCTGTGTGAGTCTGTGGGTCTCTGTGTGAGTCTGTGGATCTCTGTGCGAGTCTGTGGATCTCTGTGCGAGTCTGTGGGTCTCTGTGCGAGTCTGTGGGTCTCTCTGTGAGTCTCTCTGTGAGTCTCTTTGCGAGTCTGTGGGTCTCTCTGTGAGTCTGTAGGTCTCTCTGTGAGTCTATGGGTCTTTGTGCAAGTCTATGGGTCGTATTCTATTATTTATTTTCTTTCTACGTGACTTTACCAAAAGAACCAAAGAGTAGAGTCTATAGGTGTTCATGTGTAACCCTGTGCATCTCCGCAAGTCTTAGGTGTTCACCGGTGCATGTGGTGCTTGGCAGGTGCGCTTGGGCCTACCCGTCCAGGATGGACTCGCGGCAGCTGTAGAGGTTGTCAAACTTCTGCTTGGTCACCGAGTCGTTGACGTTCATGGCCGGAACGCATAGCTTCCCGCCCTTGGACAGCTGGTACAGCCTGCGCACGCACAGCCGCACACACACACACGCGCGTAGGTGTGCTTGGGTACGTGTGGATTTGCGGGGATGTGTGTGGGCGTGCGTGGGTGTGTGGGTGTGCGTGGGCGTGCGTGGGCGTGCGTGGGCGTGCGTGGGCGTGCGTGGGCGTGCGTGGGCGCGCGTGGGCGTGCGAGGCGTACCGGTGCACGCCCGTGACGCTCTCCTCCACGATGCCCTTCACCTTCTTGAACGTGTCCGGGTACTTCTTGTACATCCAATGCGTGAGATCTCCCCCATCATCCAGGATCTGGGGGAATGGGCGCACGAGGGGTCGGGGAAGGCATCAACCAGAGCAAGTAATTTCCAGTGTGAGTGAAAATATGCAAGAAGGTGTTTGTAACAGTGTGCATATGTGTAGGAGAGTGATCATGTGAGTGTGCTAATGAGTGGGTAATGACAGGGTGACACCTGCTGGCCGGAAAGGGAATCACGGGTACGGGCACGGTTAAGTACCAACCAATCAGAGAAGGAGGTGTATCTGGGGCAAAGGTAACAGGTGGGGCTAACCGAGATGCTCCGGAAACCCGCTCGAAGGTTCCACGAGAGGGCGTGGCCGGAGGCGGGGCCTAGCCACGCCTGGGGGGAAATAAGGGGGAGCGGACCCGGGGCTCGGGGCTCGTGTGTGGGGTCCTGGGTCCTGGCTGCGTCGCTGCTCGCCGTCATCTCTCTCCGTCGTCCGGCCACGTGGAAGATCTCCTGCGTGGTTCCCATCGCCGTCATCGTCACGCGGCCAGCCAGCGGCGTAGCCGAGTGAGGGCGATGGGACCACGCCGAGTGATCGGCTATGTGTGTAGCCAGTAGCGGTGTTAATACCTAGAGTTATACTCAGTGTGAGGAAGAACAAGTGTTGGGCTGTGTTGTGCCCAGTGTGAGTAATAAAGAAGAAGTACCCCTCTACACGACGTGTCGTGGAAGTCGCTTATTACAAGTGTGTAGTAGTGACATAGAGGATGTCACTGTGTAGTGCCGGCCCGGAAGGGTCGTGCCATTCGATGTTCCTACATCGTGGACAGCACCGTGTGGGTGGCTGTGTGTAACACCAGCCCTAGCGTGGACAGCACCGTGTGAGTGACTGTGTGTAACACCAGCCCTAGCGTGGACAGCACCGTGTGGGGGACTGTGTAGTACCAGCCCTAGCGGGGCTTGGCGAGCACTGGGATAGTGCGGGCACCATGCACAGTGTGTGGTGGGGGCTCCCCCGAGGGGGAGGGGGTAAGTGTCAGCCCAGGGGCAGGGTTGCCCCGGGCCGTGGCACTCTGGTTGACCCCGTAGACACGTGATCCGGAATGTCCACACAGGGGGCCCCAGGTGAGGGGGACTAGTGAGTGATCACGTGTCCGGAGAGGGCTCTTGAGAAGGATCGAGAGGGAACGAGAATGTTCAATAAGGCGGGCGGGGCCGAGGGCGGAACGGCCCCGACCAGAGAGGGATATAAGGCGGGTTCCCTGAGAGGGACCGGGGTCGCTGCATTCTACAAGCTCGAAGCTCAACATCTGGAAGCGGGAAGCTCTACGTCTGAAGCTGTAGCGCTTCGTCATACGAGGCAACGACGTGGTCGGAGACCAGAGTGAGGGATCGACCCTTCAGAGCAGTAACTCGCTGTAGTCTGGCAAAGGGGCAGTTACCCCTTTGTGTTACGGTGTTACAAATAAAAGTGTTGCCACTAAAAGGAACGACGTCTGTGACTCAGTTGGACCCACTACAAGTGTTTCAGAAGTGAGTGCATGTATGATCGAGTGAGTGATTTAGTGGGTGAGTGTGTGTATGAGCGAGCGAGCGAGCTAGTGCGTGAGCGAGTGAGTGTATGAGCGAGTGAGTGTGAGCAAGTGAGTGTGTGAATGATCGAGTGAGTGATTTAGTGAGTGAGTGTGTGTATGAGCGAGCGAGCTAGTGCATGAGCGAGTGAGTGTATGAGTGAGTGTGTCAGCAAGTGAGTGTGTGAATGAGCGAGTGAGTGATTAAGTGGGTGAGTGAGTGTATGCGCGAGTGAGTGTGTGAGCAAGTGAGTGTGTGAATAAGCGAGTGAGTGATTTAGTGGGTGAGTGTGTGAGCGAGTGAGCGTGCACGGCACCATGTTGGGCTGCCAGCCCTCGCGGGTGAGGCAGCGGTTGATGCACCACCAGAAGTCGTCCTCAGACTCACCCTTCCATGCAAACACCGGGAACCCTGCACTCACACAGCACACACAAACAAAAAGATCCCCCCGTATAACCTTAACAGACTGTTGGGCCAAGTGCTGTTAGCGAGCACCTATGAAGGTAGGCACGGCACACAAGGGGGTGGGTGGCCAGCACCAAGCCGGGCCCCCTTTGTCTTCCTATTGGTAATGTTTACACACCACACCAGGTACTCATTTGAGGCTGAGTTGACCTAGGGAAAGCCTAGGACCGGTTCAAAGAATCGTCACTGGTGTTGGCCGTGAGTGGGAATTGAACACAGATTGCTGGGTTCATAGCGCAGCGTGCTAACCACTACACTATCACTCCCCACATACACACAGCACACACAAGCGCCGTTGTGTCAGCGCACACGCCATTTATTTATTAACGTTATTATGATTCCGATTGTTTACCCAGGAAGGCCACACTCAGTCTAAGACATCCTGCAAATCTTTCGCAATAGAGGGGGGCGGCATTGATGCTGCCGTGTGCGATCCCGATGGAGTGATTTGCTGGGTAATTTCTTTAGCGATGGTATGTTTAGCCAATACTAGTAACAGTTAGAAGGAGAGTTCACGTTTCGATCGTGCAGCGGGAGAGAGTTGCAGATGACCGGAGCAGCCGCGCAGCCACAGTGTGTGCGGCGTGAGACGTGCGAGCGACGTGCGAGTGTGCACAGTGACCGCTCAGTGAGCGTGTGTACCGAATAAGTGTGGGCGTGCGTGCGATCGTGTGACTGTGTAAACAAGCCCACCGCCCCCAACTGTAACTACACCCCCCCCCTCACCACCCTCATGCTGCTCCCCACCCCCACGCTCACCGGCCTCTGCAAGAGCTGCGGCCACCTCGTTCTGCGTGGAGTAGATGTTGCACGCGGCCCAGCGGCACTGAGCCCCCAGCGCCGTCAGAGTCTCGATCAGCACCTACACGCGGGGACGCAGGGACAAGGCGACGACACGGGGTCACGGGACACACACACACACACACAGAGTAACGGGGACATGGAGAGCCGCGTACCGTGGAGACATGGGGTTACAGGGGACGCGGGGCCGTGAGGGACACGGGGTCATGGGACCGTGAGGACACAAGTGACGTGGGGACACAGGGTCGTGGGAAAGTGGAGACAAGGGGACGTGGAGACACGGGGACGTGGAGAGACGGGGGCACTGTCCCACACGCTCTTCAACACACACTCAAATACCCACACACAACCACCGACATCCCCCCCCCGCCCCTAAAAAAACAAAGCTCCACAAATATAGCCTACATAGACTGATGGAGCAAGTGCTGTTAGTGAGCCCCTATGAACGCCAGCATAGCACACAAGGGGGTGGGTGGCTATACCACACCTGGCTGCCTTTGCTTCCTGCACCAGGTTATCATTTGAGGCCGAGTAGACCTACAGGAGGCTTAGGACAGGTTCATATATTCACCACCGATGTGAGCCATGGTCGGGAATCAAACTCGTGCCCACGTGTACATGTGTGTGTGTACCTGTTTGTGTACGTGCGTGCCCGTGCGTGTGTGCCCATGGCCTTAACGTGCACATAGCCTGCCACAAGCGCCATGGTGCAGTCTCCGCTACTTAGTGGCGAACAGCGGTTGTTGTTGTTGTGCCCGTGTAACCACTTGTATGTGCCCGTGTACCCACTTGTATGTGCCCGAGCGTGCGTGTACCCGTGCATGTGTGCACATGTGCGTGTGTGTGCCCATACTGCGGACTGGGCAGTGATGTGAGTGCAGCCAACGACGCGGGCGCCTGCAAGCGGCTTGTCTCCCTGCGCACGCTTCCGCAGGGCCATCAGCGCCGGCATCTCTACACACGGATACACACGCACACACACATATACACACGCATGCATACACAAAACAAATACCCCCACTAAAGCCATAATCGAGTGTTGGGCCAAGTTCTTTTTGCGAGCACCTATGAAGGACAGCACGGTACATAAAAGTGTGAGATGACCAGCACCACACCTTGCCGCCTTTGTCTCCCCAGTGCTGATGTTTACTACACACCGCACCAGTTACTCATTTAAGGCCATTTCAGGCCAAATGCTAGGTGAGGCACAGGACCGGTTCCGATGTCCGCCACTGATATTGGGTGCGAGCAGGAACCTCGGGTCACCGGGTTCGTAGAGCAGTGCACTTGTCACTGTGCCACCGGTCCCCCCACGAACACGAGGGTGCCGGTTGCGAGTTGAGACTAATCAGGTCTGGGGTTGTGCAATCACGATTCTGGGTTCATTGGTCATGGGACTCATGATCTTGGGTTCACGAGTCATGTGTTTATGATCACGGGTTCAATAGTCATGTGTGTCGTGGTTCCCCACGTCCCCACGTCATCGTCCCCACGTCGTGCAAACATTGTCGTCAACTGGTTTGCAGTCTTATCATCAGCAGCAGCCAGGAGGTGATGCTGTGTGGGGGTGGTGGCGATAGTTGTGGTTGTGTGATGGTGGTGCTAATGAGTGGATGGTGCTGGGTGGCGGTGATGTTGGCACGGTCGCGTCTTCGCACCCTGCTCCGCGATCTCGATCTCGCGCCGCCCGAACTCCGCCTGCTTCACGTTCTTGACGCAGAAGTCACCTCCTCCCCGCGAGTTGAGTTGATTCTTCTCCCGCGGAGACACCTCATCGTCAGAGCTCTCCGAGTACGACGCTGCTGCAATACACAGGCGCACTCGTGTCACCTCATCAGCCTCTACACACACACACCAATACCAACGCCCACCATTCGTCACTAAGGGACGGTGACGTCACCAAGGTGCCTGTGCCAGGCGTAATTTGAGGCCACGTGAAGTGTCGAAGGCTCACTGACAAGAGATCAACGGGACAGACCCAGGTGACATGGGTTAGCTGACTGAGATGACTGTTAGATGCACCAGCTGTATCTCCTACTATGCCAACTTGCTGTGTTCTAGCCACCCGGCGGACCGCTCGTTGTTGTGAGTGTCGCTACTCTGCCCTGATTTGTTGTTGGAGGACGACTGCTTCCATCTGCCCAGTAGCAGCGTCCTTCATGAGCGTCCTCGACAGAGGCCGATCTTGACACCACTGGTACCAGTCTTCAGCAAGTCCACTCAGCTCCACATCCTCCCATACCGCATCAGTCCATTTCTCCCTAAGCCCATGTCGTGCCCATTTAGCTCCGTATATGCGGCCAAACAGAAGCTGCTTGGGCATGCGGTGGATGGGCATGCGAGCTACATGACCCAGCCTGCCGGAGGAGCTCACTGATGGGAATGTGTCAAGATCTTTCAAGGATTTGTGAGCTCCTCGCACAATCCAGCCTGGTTAAACGCAGGATGGATCGTAGACAGGCCCAGCATGAACGTTTGTAATCGGTGCAGATGTTCCACCAGAGGGATCCACGTTTCACAAGCAAAGAGAAGAGAGGGCATGAATGTGGCTAAGAAGACCCGAAGCTTCGTGTGGAGCGACAGACCAGGTAGCTTCCGCACAGCTTTACGCAGCCGATGAAAAGACAATGCCGCCCGACTGATTCGGAGTGAGACCTCTGCTGTCAAACAGAAGCTGGTCATAAGCACACTGCCCAGGTATGGGAAACTCCACTCTTTCCACAACTACTCCATCACCAATTGGGAACTGAGGGGGCGGAGTGTTTGATGGCACAAAATACCCAGGCAGGTGCTTAGTTTTGGTTGGGCTGATGGTAAGACCCCTACACACACACACTTGTACATACACAAAGACCCCCCGTATAGCCTTCACAGGCTGTTTGGGGCAAGTCTTGTTAGCGAGTAGCACCTATTCAGGCCAGCACAGCACATAATGGGGTGGAGTGGGCAGCACCACGCTCGGCCGCCCTTTGTCTTCCTCCCAGTACTGATGTTTAAGTATCTCAAGAGATACTCATTGAAGGATGAGGTAACCTAGGAAAGGCCCAGTACCGGTTTGGATATCGAACTTGGATCGCCGGGCTCGCAGTACAGAGCGCTAACCGCTACACTACCGCTCCCCACACACACACTCATACACGCACACGCTCCACCTCACCAGCCTGACCCCCCAAATCCTGACCTCTATCCCCCAGTGACCCCCCACCGCTCCCCACCCTTTGCACGTCGTACCCGAGCTGTAGCTGTCGGTGGAGGACTGCGAGATGGAGCGAGAGAGTGAGCGTCGTCCAGTCTTGACGGGACGACGCTGGAACTCCAGCTGCTGGTCAGCAAACTGGATTTGCTGTGTGAGCCATGAGAGATTGGAGGGGGGGTGGGGGGCGAGGGTGGTTTCATAAGTCATTCAGGGTCAGCCCCCCTCTTGCCCCCGCTGAAGGCAACCCAGGCCAAACAACTGGTCTCACGGCCATTGTCACTGGCCTGGTGGTGGTAGCGATGTTGTCAATAGAGGGTGGATGTGGGTGCCGGATAGTGGCAGGTGGTGGAGTTAGGTGGTGGGTGGTTGGTGGTGGCAGAGGGAGTGAGTGGTGGTGGCAGTGCTGGGTGGTGCCGAGTAGTGCTGGATGGTGTATGTATGTTGAACTTCTTTTGCACCATACGTAGCCAACCACGCTAATCGGAGGTGCGGAGGAAGGACAACAAACTAAAAACAAAAAAAAGAGTTCTAACAAAATTCGTTTTCAATCTAGATCTAAAAGTCCATGGCTCCAGTTGCTTCCTAATATCGGAAGGAAGACCGTTCCAGACGGCCACAGAAGTGCATTTGAAAGTGTGGTTGGTGGTGCTGGTCCAGTGATGATGGTTAGTGATGGTTGTGGGTGGCGATGACAATGGCGGTGCTGAGTGGTGGTTGTATTGGTGGTGGCAGTGATGGTGGGTGGTGGTGGTGATGGCGCTGGGTGGTGGTGGCGGTGCTGGGTGATGACCGTGGCGATGTCTCGGATTATTTATTCCTGTAAGTGGGGGAAGCAGCACATTCTGTTCTGAGGAGAGAGGGTGGTCGGCATGGGAACGGGGCATGGGGGCCGTGAAGATTAAACAGCACATACGTACGCATCCACACACACACACACTCCCCCCCACATCGCACACACCCACACCTACAAAGACAAAGAGCTCCCTGTAGACCGTCTGTCAAGGTGGTCAAACACAGTTAGCGGGAACCTTTGAAGGCCAGCGCAGCACACAAGAGATTGGGGTGGCCAGCACTAAAATCGACCTAGGGTAGAGTCCCAGGACCGGTTTAGATATCCATCACCCATGTTGGTGGCCGTGGGCGGGAATCGAATTTGGGTCGCCGGGATCGTAACGCAGTCGCCCCAACCGCTGCACCACCACTCCACCGTATGGAGCGTACGCGCACGCACGAACAGACTTCGGAAACCTTGCCAAGGTGCGCACTGCGAGTCGGGCACTCCCACCACGTACTGTACTGATACCTTCCTTTATGCCCAGTGCAAAGTCGCAAGCGGGTCCCTTTAACACTTAGAAGGGCCCAAAATGTCAGCTGGGTTTGCGGTGTACCCCACAGGAATCCTGCCACTGATGTCGGCGTGCGCCAGGGGTTACGCAACGTCCATGGGGCTTTAGTGAGCGGCGGAGGACAAACGAGCGGAACCGCACAGCTCCCCCACGCCATCTCCAGCCCCTCTCCCTGACATTTACCCGAGCCACGGTCACCGTCAGGGGTGACGGTTGTCCCACCTTTCAACATACAAACAATCCGAGTCAAACGGCTGATCACGTGTGGTTAGGTAAAGTGCGGGTCTTCTGCCACCTCTTCCCAGACATCTGCTCAGTGTGGAAGGGCAGGCAAAATGCCATGCAGAGGGGCTTTCTCGAACTCCCTCGAAGTGAAAATCTTGGGTGGGTGAATGGGTGTATCTGCAATTCAGCAACTCAGACAAATCAACAGAAAGGCTAAATCACTGACAGGTGAATCTCCAATAGTTGCTCTTCGTAGGCCATATGCAATAGGAACTGGAGAGTGACATTGTATCGGGTCTTCCTAGGGCCTCACGGAACGGGAGCGGACGAAAAAATAACGAAAGTGACACTCGGAGGATCGGTTGGGAACGGATAAGCTTGTAAAAGAGCCACAGGATAGGGAGAGCTCGCTGACGCGCCTGAGGCTAGAGCATTGTTGGTAGCAAACTTAAAGGCTGGAGTCGGGCTCCGGGATTCTGGACTCTGATCGCCGCGGCGAGATGCGCCTCTTCACAAAGCGCAGCGCTCGGTGAACACGAAGTGGCCCAGCGGTGGCGCACTCACTGCTCATGGCAGAGGTTTGCAGTTCCAATTCCGTAGGGCTGCCCTGGTTGTAACCGCGGTGCGTAACAGCATCAATCGTACAAATGCTGCGTCCCGTCTGCGTCAAAGTGGACGTTACAGATCCCCGTGAATTTGAAACTAGTAGGAGGCCATTGTGTGCCGGCGTTACAGTCCCAAGTTGGCCAAATTAGAAAAATGAGACCGCAAAATTACTAAATATGGATTCCACGTAGAAACAGCACTCCCTCCTGGCAAACTCCAGATGCAGGAATATGGGCTGACTGGCATCACGCACAGCCCTTTTGTCAATCCACTGCTGCTGGAGGGCATCTCCATGAAGTGCGCGGTGTGGTGGTGGTTGATTTGGCCATACTTCACCACACTGATTTGTGTGGCTTGGTGAATTTGGGGAGCATAGACATGGGAGCAAAGCAAGTACCAGACAGCAATTGATTTTTTTCTGCACTGCCCTCTGCTGCCCACTAAATATCACAGGCCCCTGGTGGCCTATGGCAACCTGTGCGTGCATTGCGGTCGCCCATCCAGGGGCTAGCCGGCCTTCTCCCTGCATAACTTCTGAGAAGTGACAAGACCGGGCACATTCCAGGTAATTTGGTTTATGGGTGGAACATTCAAATAAAGTTGGCAAATGTAAAACTTTCCATGCTTGGCACTGCTTATCAAAACAACCCAACAAAGTCAAAAGGGCGGCAGGGTGGCAGGGCGGTGGTGACGCTCGCGCCTCACAGCAAGAATTTCCTGGCTTCAATTCCCAATTCAGGTGCCTCTCTCTGTGTGGAGTTTGTACGATCTCCCCTTGGTCTGCAGTGTGGGTGAGCAAGTGAGTGGAAGTCAGCATGTGTGAATGAGTGCAGTATGTACGTTCTCCCCACTGGTCTGCATGGATTTCCTGGGGTTCTCCAGTTTTCATCCAGAGCATTAAAATCCCAGTGAAACTGATATTGGTCAAACATCCCAAAGTAAAACAATTACGCAGCAAATCACGCAATTGGAATCACGCACGGCAGAGTCATCGATAATTATTCAAGCAATTCATCCTCCGTGTATCATTTTACCCATCGCTATTCGTTTTTCTCAATAATTATGTAGTTTACGTATGATTGAGTTTACGTAAAAGTGAGTTCATGTTGGAATGAGTTTACATGCGATTGTTTTATTTATCCCCCGATGCAACTTCCTCCGTCATTTTCTGCCATTGCTGACTCCAGCTAGGGGCTGGACACCTATGTATATTAAAAAAACAGCTTCACAGCTCATCTGGATTCTTCCAGATCTAATATCTACTAAGTAATCAGACAGCCAGCCCAGCCCTAGCCAGCCCATCCCCTACCCAGTCTCTTTGTGCCCCTCAACAAGGCACCATTGCCTGCAACGTAAGCCTCGCGATTAACACTGTCTGCTAACTAAACTTCAACGAAACTGTTATGAGGCAGTGTTAACACGAAGGCATTCGTGTTAACATGAAGATGTATTACCGAAGCTATCAACAGAAGGTGTGTAGTGGATCTATTGCTCCTTTGGCACATGTTATGTTGGTAAGGCACCAAAAATATATTAAATACTCCTAAACACAACTGTCGGCAGTTCCAGAACACGCGTGCCAACAAGGACACTCAAATGATTTGATAATGTTGAGGTTTTGTGCAAAACTTGTTACTACTGGCCAAGACTAATTAGAGAATCTATTAAAATCGACAGAAATACTTTTTTTACCGTTCTGATAGCTACAGACTTAGTGCTGCTTGGAAGCGTATTATCAAGTAATACACTGTTCAACTGCATGCCTATACAGGTCACCATGCATCTATGGTGATTAACTGTGAGCAGGTAGAGATTTTTGGGCCCAAAAAAGGCAGAATGTACATACATAATGGACCTACATAATGTACATAAATGATGTTAATCAACATACATAATGTACATAAATGATGTACATTATGTATGTTGATTAACTGTGAATAACCCAACCAATAATATATATCTATTGTCATATTCTTGGTTCTTTCGGTAAAGTCACGTAGAAGGGAAACAATAAAAATAAAAATATAAAACAATAAAATTCTCACGTTTCGCCTGCAACACAAGCAATCATCATCAGGTGTGAAAACCACAACAAGAAAATTTGAAAAAAGTGGCGGTTATTTTTAACGTTAGCACCACGGAGAGAGATTTGACAGTTTGTTCAGATGGACGAGTCCATCTATGTTCGGAAAAGAGGAGGGGGGAGACGAAAAATAATGGATGCGGTCTGAAAGCCACCTTAAGCGTGATCAATCCATTAAGACCCGAAATTGTTTATCAAATCCTTCCAATGATTGCTAAGCCAGAATCCATTTTCACGGTTGAAATTGTCTGTGTTTGTATATGTGGATAGCCTCATGAACGAATCTCTCATGGTAGCCAGATGGCTTGCAAAGAACCTCTGTCTTGGAGAAGTCAATGTAATGTGAACCTACTGAATTATAACAGTGATCTGCCACGGCCGAGGTGTTGGTCCTACCGTGTTTCAGGTCTGCTTTGTGTTCACGAATGCGGTCCGAGACATGTTGTTTGGTTTCTTAAATGTAACTACTACCACAGAGGCAACTTAGTCTGTAGACGCCAGGGCACTGTATGTCCGGAATCACATCTTTTACAGACGGAACCAGATCACAGATTTTATGTAATGTGTTGAATCAGACCTGGATCTTGTGTTTATTCAAGATTTTGGAGATCTTTTTTGTGATCCCCGCAATGTAGGGTAAAGTGATGGTTTTGAAAGGCTCCTCAGGAAGGTCCTTCTTCATGGTTGGAGTGATAGCTTTGCGGATTGTGTAGTCGGAATAACCATTAGCCTTAAGAGCTTGGTGTACGTGCTTGAGTTCACTGGCTATATGTTCCTGGTCGGATATGCATTGGGCTCTATAGTGCAGAGTCTTGATGAGGGAATTCTTCTGGGATGAATGGTGGTGGGAATCCGGTTTCAGGTAAGCATCCGTATGGGTAGCTTTCCTGTAGACAGTGGCTCATTGACCCATCAGGTCTCTTTTTTATTAGGACATCCAAAAAAGGTAGCTTGCCATCTTTTTCGACTTCCATAGTAAATCTGATGACTGGGTATATGGAATTTATGTGGTTGAAGAATTGGTCTAGAGCAGGCCGGCCATGTGGCCGGCCTGCTCTAGAATCTCTCATGGTAGCCATCTGGCTACCATGAGAGATTCGTTCATGAGGCTATCCACATATACAAACACAGAGACAATTTCAACCGAGAAGATGGATTCTGGCTTAGCAATCATTGGAAGGATTTAATAAACCATTTCGGGTCTTAATTGATTGATCACGCTTAAGGTGGCTTTCAGACCGCATCCATTATTTTTCATCTCCCCCTCCTCTTTTCCGAACATAGATGGACTCTACTTTCTGAACAAACTGTCAAATCTCTCTCCGTGGTGCTAACGTTAAAATAACCTCCACTTTTTTCAAATTTTCTTGTTGTGGTTTTCACACCTGATGATGATTGCTTGTGTTGCAGTCGAAACGTCGTGAAAATTGTATTGTTTTATCTTTTTATTATTTTATTGTTTCCCTTCTAAGTGACTTTACCGAAAGAACCAAGAATATGAATCCCTGCAGTTACGAAAGCTTTAAATCAAAATCTATTGTCATGTATATGAATATATTAACCCTCCAAACCCCTGCTCTTCCCACCAGATTACATCACAATTATCCCTCTATTTAAGACCGAAACATTAGGATTCTCCACAATTATGGCTGTCGCCTGATGAGGCTAGTTGTAATTACCGGTGAAACGTCATACTTTAATTGTAAATGTTGTGGGTTTACTCGCCACCACTCCGGTGTGCTCAACTAGTAACAAATCGGCATGTTTTGTTTACGTGACAAACACTACTAATTTGCTGCGTCGGGTGATGACGGGGTTAACGACACATTTATATTTACGCGATCAAACCCAAACAAAACCTCTATTACTAAGGCAGTGTGAATGGCGAGCGTTGCGAGGTCTGAATAAGCATGCTGTTTTACAAAACTGCCGACCCCGTCCCTCTGTTTGTTGGATTGTTATCACAGGGAGCACGCGTGCGTGATTCACGCATCGCCAATCTGAGCTAGCACTGGGGCCCCCATCTCACTATCTCCCCCAGAGGCGTCAAGTTTCATTCCTGTGCCATTCTAAAAAATAAAGACCCCCCCGCCCCCCCGTGTAGCCTTGAACAGCCTGTTGGGGCAAGTGCTGTTAGCAGGCACCTTATGAATGCCAGCACTGCGCACGGGAGGGTGGGTGGCCATAACCAAGCCCGGCCGCCTTTGTCTCCCTTATGCTGATTTTGACAAACCACATCAGGTACTCATTTGAGGCTGAGTCGACCGAGGGGAGGCCCAGGATCGGTTAAAATAATCGTCACTGATATTTGTCTGTTAGCGGGAATCGAATTCAGGTCACTGAGTTCGTAGTGCAGCGCGCTAACCGCTACAACAGCCGCCATTCACCACAAAGTGGCAGAGACGTCACCACGGCACTTGTGCCAGGCTATGTGCACGTTAAGGTCACGTGAAGTGTCGAACGCCCGTTGGAAGGTCATGTGACAGACCCAGGTGCCATGGGTCAACTGACTGAGACGACTGGCCGATGCACCACCTGTGCCCCCTTCTGTGCCAACTTGCTGTGTTCTAGCCACCCGGCGGACCGCTCCACAGTCGGACACGCACGCACACACACACGTGCCCACTGAGTAAAAAACACAACATGAAACATACACACACAACCTCTTACAATAACACAGGGACACTCCGGGGCATCGCAATGGCATTTTTTTTGCTCCCACGCCTGGTATGCGCAGGTTGTGGTTTCGGTCCCGACCTTGACGCGTGTATATTTGGAATTTGGTGGATTTTTCACCGGGTCCTTCGGTTTTTCCCTCCACATTAGAAGCATGTGTTTAAAGTATTTGGCTGTTTTAAATTTCCACATGATCAGCCACTTCGTTGAGTTATCATTTGTGACCAGGTCGCTTCTGAAAAACAGCTGCAGAGCTCAGTGGGCCTTACCTAGTAAAATAAAATAAAAATGTTCAGTTTAGTTTCACTGACACATTCCCCATGTGCCTGCCAATGCCAAGAATGACATTGGCAATGACCTGGAATCAATATTTGGTAGTGCACGAATCATTGTGCCACCGCTCCTCACGTGGTAGAAACACACTTCGACAAATACACCCGTGCACACAAACACACACACCCCTGCACAAACACACGCACCTCATACACGCACACAACACCCTCACGTGCACATGGCATACACACACACAACTCCATCTCTCAAAGACGCACGAACTTGCACACACACATTAACTATTACACACACACACGCAAAGACAAAGATTCCCCGTACAGCCTCACACACACGCCCCCACTCACCCACCACACTTATAACCTCTGCAACACGCGCACACACTCGCACGTACGCACGAACCTAGACGTTCTAGCACAGACCTCGCACACACACACACACAACGCCCATTCGTCACTCAGTGATGGTGACGTCACTACGGCGCTTTGTGCCAGGCTAGGTGTACCTTGAGGTGCAAGGTGCACCAGACTCACATACGCACCTACACTACTAATACAGCACTCGCACACACACGCAACAAAGACAAAGAACCCCCTCCTATAGCCTCAGCAGACTAGGTTAGCAATTAGCTCCTGTGAAGGCCGGCACGGCACACGAGGGACTGGGTGTCCAACACCACGTCCGGCCGCCTTTGTCTCCCCAATGCTGAAGCTGACACACCGCACCAGGATTGGTTCAGACAATCGTGAGCCTCCGGCGCGCGCACATTCACACTCTGACACGCCGCTACACACCCCGGACACACACAACACGCACACACCGACACACACACCGACACACACACACAACACGCACACACACAACACGCACACACCGACACACACGAGACGCACACACGCCCCAACACACACAACCCGACACACACCTACACACACAAGACGCACACACCGACACACACACCACGCACACACACCCCGACACACACAACACGCACACACCTACACACCCCGACACACACAACACGCACACACACCCCGACACAACAACCGCCATTCGCCACTAAGTGGCGGTGACGTCACCACGACGCTTGTGCCAGGCCATGTGCACCTTGAGGCCACGTAAAGTGTCGAACGCCCGCGGGCAGGAGGTCACGGGCAGACCCAGGTGCCACGGGTCGACTGACTGAGATGACCGAGATGACTGGCTGATGCACCACCTGTGCCCCCTACTGTGCCAACCTGCTGTGCTTTAGCCACCCGGCGCTCCGCTCGTTGTTGTGAGCGTCGCTCCTCCGCCCTCCGTTGTTGTTGGAGGGCGATTGTCTCTAACTGCCCAGTAGCATCCTTCACGAGCCTCCTCCACAGAGGCCGATCTTGACACTGCTGGTACCAGTCATCGGCAAGTCCACTCAGCTCCACGTCCTCCTGTACAACATCACTCCATCTCTTCTCTAGCCCATACCGCGCCCGTTTAGCCCCCTCGATCCGGCCGAACAAAAGCTGTTTCGGCATGCGGTGGCTGGGCATGCGGGCTACATGACCCAGCCATCGCAGCCTTCCCCGCCGTAGGAGCTCACCGATGGGACTTTGCCCAGATCTTTCAAGGATTTGTGAGCTCCTCACACAATCCAGCCTGCAGGTTAAACCCAGGATGGATCGTAGGCAGGCCAGCCTAAATGTTTCTAACCGGCGAAGATGTTCCATTAGGGGGGTCCACGTTTCGCTAGCGCACACACTGACACACACTGACACACACACTGATACACACTGACACGCACAGACAGACACATTAATACACACTGACACACACAACAAAGACAAAGATCACCCATAGAGCCTTAACAGACTGTTGCAGCAAGTGCTGTTAGCGAGCACCTATGAAGGCCGGAACGGTACACGAGGGGGTGGGTGGCCAGCACCACGCCCGACCGCCTTTGTCTCCCTAGTGGCAATGTTTACACACCACACCAGGTACTCATTTGAGGCTGAGTCGACCTAGGGGAGGCCCGGGACCGGTTCAGATAATCGCGCACACACCGACACACACAACACACACACACTGACACACACAATGCGCACACACCGACACAGAACACGCACACACCGACACACAACACGCACACACTTACACACACTGACACACACACTGATACACACTGACACGCACAGACAGACACATTGATACACACTGACACACACAACGCGCGCACACCGACACACACCGACACACACACACACCGACACACACAACACACACACTGACACACACACTGACATACACACTGACACGCACAGACAGACACATTGATACACACACAACACACACACTTGACTCCTGCAGTCAGGACGAAAGCGCGACACCGGTAGGGATACGAATACCACCATCACCACCACCGCCACCATCGCCACCATCACCAACCACCAGCACCACCACCACCAGCACCACCCACGGCTCCCTCGTGCGAGCGAGCGAGTCTCCCTCCCCCCCCCCCTCCAGCGTCGCTGCCCCTTGCCGCTCACCTTGCGAACCTTCACCTCGCTCTTGGCCTGCGCGCTGGCGGGAGCCTCCTTCTCCACGCTGTTGTCCGCCATCGCTGCGCCTGGGTGGTGGAGACGGGTGGGGGGGGGAACTGTGGAGGAAGGAGGGGGCGGGGGCTGGGAGAGGCGGGGCCTGTGGGGAGGGGCCTCGGGGGGCTGAGAGGGAGGGGCGGGGCCAGCGGAGCTTGCGCAGAAGGGCGGAGCCTGACGATGTAACGTGCCGGGCAAAGTTCCAAGTTCGTGAAATAATAGACGCAAGGGCCGTTGCCCGAAACGTCGCCTGTTATATTTACATATGTTTTGTTCCCTATTAAGGGCCCACAGTATTAGGGGCCGTCCATAAATGACGTCACGCGATTTTGGACGATTTTTGACCCAACCCCCCGAATCGTCACACGGCGTCACAAAAAGTCAGACCCCCCTCAAATATGACGTCACAAAGCTCTGCCCCCCCCCCCCCAAATAAAACATGCTTCAAATCGCGTTAAACTATTATCATTGTAGTGCGTATTTAATGTGCCGCTGCACTCTGATGTTGTAGGAGAAAACATTTATTAAAAAGTATATTTAATTAAGTAGAACGTGTTGTCTATATTTATTTAAAGTTGCGCATTTTGATGTGACGTCACATTTCTCAAACCCCTCTCGTCACACATCGTCACACATCGTCACAAATGTCTGACCCCCTCCCCCCCCCAGGTGCGTGACGTCATTTATGGACGGCCCCTTAGTGAAGAATGTGTCATTACTTTTGTTTGCTATGAATTGTGCTTTGTGCACCAAATCCAACCCAGCAGCATCGTGACTAAATCATGTACAAAGACAAAGATCCCCCGTATAGGCTTAACAGACTGTTGGGGCAAGTGCTGTTAGCGAACACCTATGAAGGCCGGCACGGCGCACGGAGGGGGTGGCCACACCACGTCCAACCGCCTTTGTCTCTCAAGTGGCGACTTTACACGGCGCACCAGGTACTCATTTGAGGCTGAGTCGACTTAGGGGAGGCCCGGACCGGTTTTAGATAATCGTCACCGGTGTTGACCGTGAGCAGGAATCGAACTCGGGTTGGTAGTGCAGTGCGCTAACCGCTACACCACCGCTCCCCTGTACAGTAAACGTGTACAGTCATACCCCGGTTCTACGTCATAGATGCGTTCATGAAAGGTGCGACGACGAATATCGAAACGACGCAAATCAAAGCGATTTACAGCGGTAGATGGAGGCAAACGCTACGGCGAGGGATAGGAGAATGGACGGACGATGCTGTCATCGATGTAAGTGTGGGTTTAATGCGACGCGAATCTGGTCCTGGTATTCATTAAGTGACGACGTATTTGCGAAACGACGCAAAATGGGGAGACGTAAATCGGGGTATGACAGTATACGGTTTACTATTGCACTCACATATAGTAAACAGACACGGATATACGATGTCAAAAGCAACTGCGGGTGAAGCTATCGCAAACAATCGATCGCCCTGCATCAAATTGTCACCTAGATTGGAGCGTTAACCACAGGGACACGCGTGCACCCATGGGATTCCATTCAGGTGATTGGGCATTCACGAATAATGCATGAGAGCCACGCCAGTTGAATTAAGCGAGGTGCAGCTATCGCCTGTTTTTTTTATTTGGACATGTTTGTTTTGTTGTAGTACGGAGTTAGACTGATGGCCTTAATCTAAGTTGTCTTGTGGTTGTTGTTGTTGTTGTTTGATTTGCATCCCACTGGGATTCTTTGCACACAGCGTTGGTGTACGGTGCTTTTTTCAGGAATATTTTGCTGGGTTTTTTTTCTTTGATTTTCTGTTTGCACAGTCACACATAGTCACTTTAAGATGTTTTCATTGCTCGTGTTTTTGTTTTTTTCGTTTGTTGCGGTTGCACCCGATTCAAGGGCCGAATGGCTCACAGGGCTATACCAAAAAAACTAAACTAAAACTAAACTGTCACAGACAAGGGCGAAAACGTGCTTGAGGAGGGCCGTAAAATAATAAAAACAAATCTTATCGACGACGTCGGGCAATCACCCTTATGAATAGCCCCATAATTCGAACCCCTACATTGGACTGCATTTGCTCACGTTATCTGGCAGTTAATTATCTATTTTAGGCCATCTTGACAGCTGACGAGATACTGCACATCGGAACGGGTTCCGAGTTTTTTGCTTTTGCTGAACCAATGCTGATTAACAGGTCCCTGCAGGGTGGGCTGGTAGGAACATTGGAATTTTGCGCAATTTTATTTTTACACCCCAACAGCACGAGATTTCACTTCGTTAAAGTATTGACAGGGGACGGACGGACGGACACATTAATCTATTGCAGGCTGGTACACTCAGTTTACAACGTCGTTCCTACCAGTAAATGTCGCACTTGCAGAAAGAAGGCCGTTTGGTTGACTGCATGTGTAGGAAAAACATGTCTGTGTTAATGTGGAGCAACAGACGTGTGCAGGAAAATAATTGTCTGCTGCTAATTTTGCGTTATTTAATCATCATTGACCAATCGTGACGTCGCATCCGCGGACTGCCATGGTCAATCTGCTGCTGGATAAAGGCCTCCCTGAGCCTTCGCCATCTCTCACAGCCCTACCACGTAACGATCCACCTAGCACATCCTTGCACACGAGCTCAGTTTCATCGCTCCTTCTCCTCGCGTTCATTTCATCGACCTCGCGTGCAGACCCGACGTGCGGACATGATGGACAACACGTGTTTGTTGACGTCACAGGACCATTGAGCGTGACGAATCACCGCTCGGCCGGTCCCTGCTAAGGTCGTGGCCACGCTGCCATCGATCATCAGCAGCATTGGTCGATCCACAGCTGGATGCTTAGAGGGATATCAGCGTAAATAACATTTGCCCTCGCATTCACATGGGTGACGTAATCAAAGGAAGGGAGTGGCGTTGCGGCAGTTCGGCGAGGCGAGTTCGGCTAAGGGTCCGTCCATAAATGACGTCACGCACCTAGGGGGTGGGGGGTCAGACATTTGTGAGGATACGTGACGGGGGGGGGGGGTTGAGAAATGTGACGTCACATCAAAATGCGCAACTTTAAATCAATATAGAATTGTTATAACAACACTAATTGTTATAACACTCCTACAATATCAGAGTGCAGCGCCACATTAAATACGCACTACAATGACAATAGCTTAAAGCGATTTGAAGCATCTTTTATTTTCAAAATAAAAATATGGTTTTGGAGGGGGGGGGGGCAGAGCTTTGTGACGTCATATTTGAGGGGAGTCTGACTTTTTGTGACGCCGTGTGACGAGGGGGGGGGGGGAGGTAAAAAGTCGTCCAAAATCGCGTGACGTCATTTATGGACGGCCACGCGAGTGATATCTGAACTGATATGCTGTGTTCCCTCCCCACCGAGTGACCCACGTGATGAAGTGTGGTCATACAAACCCACGTGACCAGCATGGTGTTGGGAGGGAGGCCTTCATCCAGCCGTGGATTGATCATGGCCGATGATGATTTTACGGTATTACAACCTTCCTCGAGTAACATGTGCTCTTACCTGTTTCATTTGTGTAATTTAGCTTTCGTGTTTGTGCTCCCTGTAGGTTGACTCAGCCTGAAATAAACAACGCAGTCCACGACACTCCCCAACCAGAGCTGTACAAGCGAGCCCTGAACACGCGCTCACGTGATGGGTGGGCGGGAAGTCCCTATAGGGACCATCCATAAATGACGTCACGCGATTTTGGACGATTCCCCCCCCCCCCCCCCCAATCGCCACACGGCGTCACAAAAAGTCAGACCTCTCCTCAAATATGACGTCACAAAGCTCTGCCCCCCCCCCCCCCAAATAAAATATATAAAACATGCTTCAAATCGCTTTAAACCATTGTCATTGTAGTGCGTATTTCAATGTGGCACTGCACTCTGATGTTGTAGGAGAAGACATTTATTAAAAAGTCTATTTAATTAAGTAGAACGTGTTGTCTATATTTATTTAAAGTTGCGCATTTTGATGTGACATCACATTTCTCACCCCCCCCCCCCCTCGTCACACATCATCACAAATGTCTGACCCCCCCCCTAGGTGCGTGACGTCATTTATGGACGGCCCCATACCCGTTTTCACTGAATTAGTCCATAACAGCCTTTACGATAAGTTAGTATACTCCTAAAGAGACTTCTCGCTCACTCTTTAAAGCTTGTATCCTAGTGGGTTGCTGGATGTAACGTTGCTTATATTCTCTGACGCTGTTTGGTATTGTGTCTAAGGGGCCGTCCATAAATGACGTCACGTTCTACTTAATTAAATAGACTTTTTAATAAATGTTTTCTCCTACAACAGAGTGCAGCGCCACATTAAATACGCACTACAATGACAATAGTTTAAAGCTATTTGAAGCACGTTTTATATATTTGGGGGGGGGCAGAGCTTTCCGACGTCATATTTGAGGGGGGGTCTGACTTTTTGTGACGCCGTGTAACGAAGAGGGGGGGGGGGTCAAAAATCGTCCAAAATCGCGTGACGTCATCTATGGACGGCCCCTAAACCCGTAGCGGTTTACTGATATGTAACGTTGCTTATATTTGATTTAAAGCTTTCGTGACTGCAGGGATTCTTCTAAACAATATTGTTTCCCTTCTACGTGACTTTACCGAAAGAACCAAGAATATGTTGCTTATATTCTCTGACGCTGATTAGTATTGTATAAACCCGCAATGGGTTTCTGGATGTACACACGCTTTAAACATTCTCGTGCACACAAATATTACACATGGTGGCCAAAATGTCCCTACACCCCCATTTTCCCGTATTAGTCCGCAGTAGCCGATGTGACAGGGACTTCTCGCCCACACTGTAAAATACGTGGATGTACATGTCTGCTCGAAAACACGTGTACAACACCTCCTGTACATGTACATACACGAGCACTACACTCTTGGTATTCTACAGTGAGTGGGCGAGAAGGCCCTATACCCCCCATGAGTTTTATAAGGGCACCACGGAGTGACCAGCCCCTCCCCACCCAGCCCCTCTCCACCCTCCCCTCCCCACCCAGCCCCTCCCTCCCCACCCAGCCCCTCCCCACCCTCCCCTCTCCACCCAGCCCCACCCCTCCCATTTTTGGATGCACGACGGACGGACACAATAATCCTCTGTGGGCTGGTGTAACCAGGAGGTTCCTACCAGTAAGAAGCTGACAATTCACCCCACTTGAAACAATGTATTTTTTTTAACACAGCCAGTCAGCCATACGACCTTCTAGGAGTGCAATAATTCCAGCAGCATTGCTTAAATAGAAGTTAACTCTGGGACTGGTTTCGACACAACGTGTCTCATCAGCAGAGGTCAGGTTTGCTTGGTTGAACCAATGCTGCTGAAATGATGAAAATTACAAGTTTTTTTTTACACATTCCATCAGGCACACGCCTCCACATGTCTGTATCACGGCATAAAATAAACTTGTATCTTATATTGGGTTTTTTTCACGTGGGAGAGACATATATGTACAAAAGGCGACTCGTGAACTAATTTAATTATGCTTATATTATCCGACGCTGATGATTATTGTGTGGTACTTAACCCTTAGTGGATGTGGTACATCCCTGTGTCTATCCACTGCTGGATGAACAAGGCATCCTCGCCACGCCGGTGTCGGTCTTCCGGGGCGGGAGGGGTAGGGAGGGGGGATGTTCACCGATAACTTCAACCACGCCAGATGCTCCAATAGATTACACTGCACGGAAAATAATCAAAGAATAGATTCGCTGACTGACCGCTGCGCGTGTCGCGTGACACTTAATGGGAATCACAAGGGGGGGTGGAGCGAATCACGGTCCACGTGTAGGGGGCGGGGTCTACTCGCGGTGTGGGCGGGGTTTAAATAAAGGGGGCGCGGTTTGGGTATTTAGGCACGCCTCCCTCCATTTTTTCCCCGCACTGGGGTATCACCTGATGACGGACGCTTGTGTTGCGCCCGAAACGTCGTGATTTATTTTTATTTTATACCTACGTGACTTTACCGAAATAACCACAGAGTATCAGAGCTTCGGGAGACACCACCAGGGGGTTGTCCATTGCACTGTGATCCGTGATGTGTTTGTGCTGGTGCCAACCCCCTTTCATGTCCTCTGCGGTGTGTACCTGAACCGGTTTTTTGTTAATAAAATACTTTTGGGGTGGGAAACAACACGGGGGGGCCTGTCGAATTGTTATTTTAATTGAATGGCGTGGCCTGTGGCTACGTGGGCGTGGCTTGTGGCTACGTGGGCGTGGTCTGTGGTTACGTGAGGCTATGGTTACATGGGCGTGGCTTTTGGGTACGTGGGCGTGGATTGTGGTGACGTGGCATGTGGGCTACGTGGGCGTGGCCTGTGGCTACGTGGGCGTGGTCTGTGGCTACGTGGGCGGCTAAGGTTACATGGGCGTGCCCTGAAGTTACGTGGGCGTGGATTGTGGGTATCTGGGCGTGGCCTGTGGGGTACGTGAGCCTATACGTGCTTACGTGGGCGTGGTCTGCGGGAGTTTGAGGGGGGCGTGGCTCTGTGGGTTTAATTCGCCGTGGGCGTGCGAGGTGACGTCACCGCCAGCTGATCGGCGCCTGACGTCACCGCGTTCAGGTTGTTGTTGGGCAGCAGATTTTCTCTTGGTTCGCTCTCACATTTTGTGTCGCCTCTCACTTCACTTTTCCCCGCGCGTCTTTGTCTCTCTCTGCTTCACTGCCCTGTTCTCGCTCCCCTCCTCCTCCTCGCTCTCGTCTCGCCCGCTCGGATTAACGCGCCCCGCGATGTCGTCGCCGAGTCCCGGCAAGAGACGGATGGACACAGACGTGGTGAAGCTGTATCCATTCCAGTGATGGCATGCGAACCAAGGAGGACTCTGCCTGTGTGTTTGTGTGTGCCTGTGTGTGATTGTCTTTGTCTGTGTGTGTGCGAGGGAGTATGTGTGCCCGTGTATTTGTGTATGTATTTGTGTACGTGGTTGTGTATTTGTGCGAGTGGTGTATTTGTGAGTGTTGTGTACCTGTGTGGTTGTGTGTGTGTGTGGTTTTATATTTGTGTGCCTGTGTAGTTGTATATTTGTGTGTGTTCGTGGTTGTGTATGTTTGTGTCTGCGAGTGTGCGTTTGTGAGTGTGTTTTTGTGTTTTTTCAGTTGTCAGTATATGTGTCAGTGTGTGCCTGTGCGTGTGTATGACTTATACACACAATGTACAGCGCACCTTTGTGTTTGTTGTGTGTGTACGTGTGACTTTGTGATTGTGTGCCTTTGTGTGTGTGTAAGTGGTTTTGTTTCTGCGTATGTGTGTATTTGTGCGTGTCTTGTGTTTCTATTTATGTGCGAGTGTCTCTCTTGTGTGTGTGTATATATATAAATGGCTGACTGTCCTACGACCTCGGCGAGCCCAGTTCGATTCCCTGTCATCGATAAAGTGCTGAGTGATAACCTAGCCCGTCCTGGGCCTCCCCTAGGTCGACTCATCCTTCATACACAGTACATACAATGTATTTTGTAAATAACAGCAACGGCACTGGGAAGACAAAGGCGGCCGGTTGTGGTGATGTACACATACACCACCGCAAACGGCCTTAATAGGTGCTCGCTAACAAAACGTATCTTGACATGCTATGTAGACCGTACTGTAGTATTATCCGCGTCCGTCTTTGTCTCTAGAACTGTGTCTTGAGTCTGTCATGGCGCCCAGAGAATTACAAATATTATTTCCCGGGGCGAGGCCTGGCTCCGCAGGCTTTTCCCGTCTTTCTTAGGTCACTTTGCCGCTGACAGCCCGGCCGGGTCGGGGGTGTTGGGATGCCTCGCCCTTCCGGGCCCGCAGGTTCCGACGCGTTTGCTGGTTACTCGTGTGTGTGTCTTTTATAACGACGTGGACGTCTGTACATTAAGGGTAAAGTATGGTGTGAGATGTAAATATGTTTGTGTGGGGGGAGAGGGGGGAAACATTTTTTGGTTAGGGATTACGTAATGAGAATCTGGCTGTGTAAATTGTCAAGTAAGTAATGGTGTTCGGGCTATGCGTGCCATCACTTGACCATCACACTTTACCATCGCTTCACCATCACCGAGTGTCAATAGCAGCAGCAGAGTGTCAACACTACCATCACGCTGTGTCAAAACGTCTCCATCGGCACCGTCAAAACCTTCAACTGTCGCCCATCACCGTCACCACCATCATCATCACCGTCATCATCATCGTCACCGTCACCATCATCACCGTCACCATCATCATCATCACCGTCATCAACCAACGGAGTTGAACAAACATCACTTTCACAATATCGCCACTAATCTCCTAGTGTCAATACCATCATCGGCAGGGTCCTCCTCATCACCATCACTCTTGTGTCGACCTTCATCACACCACCGGACCTACAGACATCACCATTACCGTACTTATCCCATCACCGGCCATCGTTACGGCTTCATCATTTTACACGTTTATCATCAACATCATAACTCAAGCTGCCGGCCTTAAACACCATCGCCTCCGTTACTGTTTCGCCATCACCGTCATCACTTCACAATCGCACTATTGTGCATGTTGGTGGTCATCGTCACACCAAGGGGCCGATAAAAAAATCAACATCACCACCATCAGCAGCACGGCGACACCATCAACATTACCATCGCAACATCACCATTACCATCGCAACATCACCATTACCATCGCAACATCACCATTACCATCGCAACATCACCATTACCATCGCAACATCACCATTACCATCGCAACATCACCATTACCATCGCAACATCACCATTACCATCGCAACATCACAATCGCAACATCACCATTACCATCGCAACATCACCATGATCATCGCAACATCACCATTACCATCGCAACATCACCATTACCATCGCAACATCACCATTACCATCGCAACATCACCATTACCATCGCAACATCACCATTACCATCGCAACATCACCATTACCATCGCAACATCACCATTACCATCGCAACATCACCATCACCATCGCAACATCACCATTACCATCGCAACATCACCATCGCAACATCACCATCACTATCACGGCATCACACTGCCTCGACACGGCCATCGTCAATAATCATCACCAAACGGTGGACATCAATCATTCGGTGTCATCACAATTAGACCATCGTCATCATTACCATCACCATAGTAGTAGTGGGTGTAGCTGTGGCATCAAAATGAACAACAACAACCACCACACGAACGAACACCGCTTGCAATCGCACCGACGGTAGCAACTGGAACAACAAAATGTAGCACCACAACGATGGAACATAACAGAAAACAACAGATTATCTAGAGACGGCCGTAAGAACACGGTGATAACGGACGCAATCACCCCGACAACAACACGCGCAACAACTACCACAGAACACGGAGACGACAACAACACGGGACAAACTTAAACACACAATGGCAGTATCAAACAACAACAGTAACGTGTACAACAACATAGAGAACACGGGCAACAACAGAACAGAATGTGGACAATGGCACAAACAACAACAGCAACAGACAACAACATGAACAGCGTGGACAACAAAACCCATGCGGTCCACACACACAACAGGGCACTAACAACCAACGAGATAATGGCGTAAACAACAATCTTACAACGCAACATAGCAGCATAGACGGTCAATAACAAGGCAACAACAGAGACACCAATACGGGCAACATACACACAGTTGACAACCAGATGGACAGCCGCACAGATGGCCACACAACACGAATGTCTCGCTGGGTTGTACGGAGTTATGGCTGTCGTGCCCTCTGTATGACCACAACCACAGAACGTTCGCAATAGGGACAGAACCACCATGGGCAGTTGCTAAAACGGCAGGCAGCGACACAAGACGACAACAACACAGACATAAATCCCCATAGATAGCCACAACAACCACATAGGCAGCGTCACAAGAAATTCGGCACCAACACAACAACAATACATAACCCCACCAGGACAATAACCCCATAGACAACAACAACAACACAGCAACGCAAACAACAGACAACCAAACGTACATCTTTACAAGCAACAACCAAATGTAGAACATCGTGTGTAACAACACACATACATTTACATAACAACGTATGCAGCTATATCACAAAGAACAACACTACCCAAACCATCCACACGCAGTCATTATAAGTGCCGAGCCAGAGCTGGGTGTTGGGTTCACGGGACAGGACCAGGCCCCATGGCTTCTTGGCTCAAGCAGCAAACTCTTAACAAGAGTGCGGAGGATATGGGGACACCACACCAAACACACGGATTCCACACACACACAGACATACAGAGACACCATGGGGACGTAGGGACACTACACACACCGCACTATGTACCACACGACAGACACTGCACTGCAGATACCACAATACACACAGATACCGCTCCACACACCGCATGATAAGAGAAACCACGGTGACCCAGGAAGACGACACGGTTGGCTACGTACGGTGCGAAAGAAGTTATGCATACAGAGAGCGCACACACATACCACACGACAGCATCCCCACACGACAGCACTGCCCCATTCACATCACATAGACACCACACCCCAGACACTACCGCACCACTCACACCACTCTGCACCACAGAAATCGTATACACCAACACACGGCGGGCACCGCAGACCCCACACCACACACACCACACGACAACCGACACAGACAACCGCACCACAGATAATGCCCTAGATAGACACCGCACCATACGCACCACGGCGTTCACCACACATTGCACAGCAACATATACCGCATATATCGGTTACCACATAGAGACACGATATCACACACCACCCACAACTGTCACCAAACACACAGACACCACAAACATCACACACACACACACCACAAATATCACACACACACATACAGGCACCGCACACACACAGGCAGCACAGACACGCGGTGCGACTGAGTTGAGGTTAGGCGACACAGCCCTCCCTCTGTCTCGCTCAAATTTGCTTTGTCAGCAAAACGCGGAGCGTGGAGCCCTGGGGGGCAGGGAGCGTGGGGGGGGGGGTTGAGTGGGGGGGGCTTATGGGGTACAGTGTGTACAGTGTGCCTGGCTTCACTGGCACAGTGTGTACAGTACACGTGGTATGTGGTGTTGCCCTTTGAGCTTTTATCCTGTGACCCCAACAAGTGTAATCTTTGACCTGTGACTCGCAAACCCTGCATCCTTATGACATTGGGCCTCCAGTGAACTCTGAACCATTGCTCTCATGTGACCTGATGACCCTTGACCATGAAACCCACACAGCATTGAGAGCAAACACGAGGTCACCATCCTGGGAGGACTCAACGAGTTCGTGGTGAAGTTCTATGGCCCGGCCGGCAGTAAGTGATCACCGCATGCCACACTGCACACCAAAGACAAAAATCCCCCGTATAACCTGCACAGACTGTTGGGGCAAGTGCTGTTGGTGAGCACTTGTGAAAGCCAGCACTGCACGCAAGGGGGTGGGTGGCCAACACCACACCCGACCGCCTTTGTCTCCGCAGTGGTGATGTTTACACATCACACCAGGTACTCATTTTAGGCTGAGTCGACCTCGAGGAGGCCCAGAACCGATTCAGATAATCGTCATTGGTGTTAGCCGTGAGCGGGAATCAAACTCGGGTCGCCGGGTTTCATAGCGCAGTGCGATAACCGCTACATTGCACACCACATCACATCACACGCCATAAAACGGCACATTGCGCACCACACGCACACCACAAACGGACATAGGCATGACACACAAAACATAAATATGCACTGCTTAACTCATAAGACAGCATGGCACATACACGGTACAGCCATTTCCACCCAACCCCACAGACATCACACCATTATCACACGTTCATTGCATACAACACAAAAGCACCACACTTGAGACACCCACAGCAACCACACAGACAACACCGCAGGCACCGCCACAGGTGGTGAGGGTTGTGGTGAGTATTGTGCGATTGTTATCGTGCTCACCCTTTCCTCTCTCTCTCCCCTCCTCCTCCCGTCTCGCCCAGCGCCGTACGAGAATGGGGTGTGGAAGGTGCGGGTGGACCTGCCGGAGAAATATCCCTTCAAGTCTCCCTCCATAGGCATGGCAACGCACAGACACACGCACAGACACTACAACAACAACAGCTGTCCTTCGCCAACAAGTGGTGGTGACATCACCACAGCGCTTGCGCCAGGCTACGTGCACTTTGAGGCTATCGCGTGAAGTGTGGAAGGCTTGCTGCTGGCAGGTCACGGGACAGATCCAGGTGTTGTGGGTTGACTGATGTGCCAGACTAGGTGCAGGAGGTTACAGGAGAGATCCAGGTGCTACCGATCGACTGAGATGATTGACATACACAGTCTGTGCTCCCCACCGCACTACTTAACTGCGTTTTAGCTGCCTGACGCTCCACTTGTTATTGTGAGGGTTGTTCCTGCACCCTGTAACTGCCCAGTAGCGTCCTTGACGTGCCTCCTCCTCCTCACACACGTATATCGTATACGTGCTCCTTGCAATCGTAACAGTTTCCTTCCCTCCCCTCTCGTTCACAGGATTTATGAACAAGATTTTCCACCCAAACATCGACGAAGCGTGCGTTACCGCCCACAGCTTCCCTCCCTCCCTCCCTCCCTCCATCCCTCCCTCCCTCCCTCCCTCCCTCTCTCTTCATCTATCTCACACCCTACCTGCCCCCCATCTCTCTTCTTCTCCATCTCTCTCCCTCTCTATCTCTCCCCCTCCCCCCCCCCCCACATCTCCCACCCCATCTCGTGTCTGCTGCTGCGTCTCCACCATGTCATGCGTCTCGTTTGTGTCGCACAGCTCAGGGACCGTGTGTCTGGACGTGATAAACCAGACGTGGACGGCGCTGTACGGTAAGGGTCTTCCCACACGCCCCCCCCCAGCTCATTATCGTCACCCCGTGTTTGTGACCCATGACCCCACGTGACCTCACACATGACCTTAGGAGGGGGTTAGGGGAACCTGCGCCCCTTAGGTGGGGTATGGCCCCATGGCTTCATTTTCAGACTGCCTGCAGCCACATGAGACCTACCACTCTGAAAAGGCCCACAAGCCACCTGTATCCACCACTACAAGCGTCTTCGCTGGTAGCATTGCGTGTCTTGTCTTATCGCCATGCTCAGTCACTGGTAGGATGGCCCCGAGTAATAGTAGTCTGTCGATGAGTTGATCTCATGGACCTATCGTCCTGGCTCTCTTTGCCACCCGCCCCTGCCGTTGTTCTGTGACCCGAATCCCTTTCTGACATCTTTGCCCTTCTCATTCCATTGACCCGTGACCCCACAGACCTGTCGAATATCTTTGAGTCGTTCCTGCCACAGCTGCTCGCCTACCCCAACCCGATCGACCCGCTCAATGGCGACGCCGCCGCCATGTACCTGCACAAGCCCGAGGAGTACAAGCAGAAGATCCGAGGTTTACTGCTGTCCCTTTTCTTATGCTTCCCTTTGCTGTTTCCCAACATGTTGCCAGGCCAGTGTCCGTTCACGTGCTTCTCTGCACTGCCCCTTGCTTCCTTGCGCCACCCTGCACGTCGTTGTGGTTGGGGCCGACGCCGAATCCCGACGCTTCCCCGTTGCTTCCTTCACAGAGTACATCCAGAAGTACGCGACGGAGGAAGCGCTTCGGGAGCAGGAGGGAGCGGCGGCCGACTCGTCGTCCGAGAGCTCCATGTCCGACTTCTCCGAGGATGAGACGCAAGACATGGAGCTATAGCCGCACTGGCACCGCACTGGCACCGCACTGGCACCGCACTGGCACCGCACTGGCACCGCACTGGCACCGCCACGACACTAACGCGACATCGACAAAACACTGGCACTTGCACTAATTTCACACCGATATTAGTGCCGACTCCACACTTCACCAACAAGGCATTGACTCAGCCCTGAAGTACACCGATCGTCAGTTAGCACTGCACAGGCACTGTAGTGATACCACACTGGCACCACGCTGATGCCAACACTGCAACTGTGCTGATGCTACACGAAGACTGCATTGACACCACAATGGCCACGGTAGTGACACCATACCAGTATAGCACTGGCACGGAACGTGGCACACTTATCTGATACAGTATAGTACATGCATTTAGGACTCTCGCTTAGCACGGTATAGCGTAACACGCGCGCCCAGTGATCGTAACACATCCACGCAGAGCTGCTAACACCGGCGCGGCGCTCTTAACATTCTCATACAGCACGCGCATAACGCACTCAGTGCGCCCGCACTCGTAGTGCGCGCGCACTCCCCCATTGGTCACTAGCGGCCGGAGCTAAACGGCGCAGTTTGTAGCAAGCTGCTGTTGCGCGGTGTTAACAGAGGCTCTAACGCTGTGTAAATAAAGTCGCAGTCTACGCTGCAACTCGGAGCAACTTTGTTGCAGCAGCCCGTGACAGTTGCCGCCACTGCACGAGAAATGAGCGATTTGATTGGATAGATGCGGGTCACGCGGTCGTCATTGTGACCCGCTGGCTATTTCCAACATGGCGGATTTTTAATGCATTTTTAATGCATGTGCAGAGTTTGATAAGAAAACTACATTAATCTGTATTTAGTAAGATAATGAATACACTTACCATTACTATTTTTATTAATATTTTATAATTTTCATATTATTTACATTTCCAAAATGCCTGGATAGGTTATTTTATTCGTAGGCCAAGCAGGCACCTTTCCTTGCCTAAATCCTGTACTGGGCTTCCTGGGCCAATTCGCCCAGGCGATAGGGGAGGGCGGGCATCATGCCTAGGCCTCCACTACACACAGGGGTGGGCTCCGGTTGTGTTTAATGGCTGTATAGCACGCAACCTTGTTGCACAAGAGAAGCAACGACAAGTTTCAGTGTTGAATGTGAGATGTTGTGCAACAGTTTAACAGCAACCAAGTTTTGTGTAATAAAATTGCGCCATTTAGCTTCAGCTTAATGCTACGTGCTCACATAGGACTATACGGCTCGCATGAACACAAACGCACGTGCATAGACAAACACAACGCAGATGCACAGCACTGACAAACAACACTAACAGCAAACACGTACAGGGTCACATACAGGGTCACATACACATGGACACACAGGCACACATAAATGTATGTAGGCACACGGGGACAAGTACGTGCGCGCACACGACTCGCGCGCATGTGTGCAAATGCACACGGACGTGTGCGCAGCCATGCCTACAGGCACAGATGGATACGGGCATATTTATGCTCACGCATGCACACAAATTCAGGCATTCATACAGGCGCATAGACACACGCGTGCTCACGTGTACACACCTACTTTTCCCTGCCCCTGCTGTACACACTCTGATCCCTCCCACTGCTGCCCCCCACCCTGTCCAGGCCCCTCCCCCCCACCCCCAAGATATATTTAACACGTTAACGTTATTGTTACCGACGCGCTTTCATTATTTTGTTTTTTTAGAAAAAGGAAAAAATAAAACCACCAGTTTTTCGTTTTGGTTGTTTATCATCATCATCAACATTATTATTACCATTACTGTGTTATTAATATTATACTCTTACAAACTCTTACTATTATCGTTATCATCATCATCGTCGTCATTATATCATTGATCGCAAGTCTGTCGGCTCTTGTTGGCTCCTGCCAACTGCCCTCTCGCTCGCTCTCTCTCCCTGCCGCCTGCACGTGTAGACGGGTTGGCAGGTCGGCAGACAGGCGGATAGGGCAGGTAGACGGACAGACAGGTGGATGCACAGACAGGTAGACAGACAGGTCACGGGTAGACGGACAGACAGGTGTCATCTGCCTGTAGTTGTACAGCCGGGCGAGGCAGCCCTTTACCCGTGAGTCATCAGCTGGGTTCGTCTTGCGTTTAAAAACAAAAAGCTTTGGAGATCGTGCAATGGCTGTTGCAGAATGGCTGAGCTTGCCTCGGTTCTACTGTGTTGCACCGTTTTTTTCTCTCGTACTTTTTTTCCTTTTTCTTGTTTTTTGTGTGGTTTTCCTTTTTTAACCAAAGTTTTAGAGGCACCTGACCTTCCCTGCCTGCCTGCCTCCCCTCCTTCCCTCCCTCCCCTCCCTCTCCATGTCTGCTGTTCCTACCCTGGTTCTTCCCAGCCCAGCGGACACGTGCACGCACGCACGGAAACCGTGGTCCTGTGTCCCCGTGGCTTCCGTCCCTACGAGTCTCGCCGATTCTCTGTCCCTCTGTGCTTGCCCGGTGTCTCGAGCATTCTCTTGTCTGTTGCAAGTGCTCTCCGTTTCTCTCTGTCCTCCCGGTCATTGAAGTGAGGGCACGAGTGCGCGATCCAGACATGTCACTGCCCCCTGCGATGCGAAGAGTGGGAAAATGCGTTTGCCGAGAGGGGAGCGTAGTTGCGAGTTTTTTTTTGCGTTAGTGAGCGTGCAGCATAACGGAGTTGGGCGGCATAGCCAATGTTCGCGGTGCATGCGGGATCGATATTGGGGAGAGAGCTCCTCGCCGAGTTATATTCGAGTGCAGTGAGTGCGAGTGTGCGGGCAAGAGGGAGGACTTCTGCCGCTAGGGTCTGTAACCTCACCGCATCCTTGCCGTCTCATCCCTCTCAGTGTCCCTCATCCTCGCCCTGTTACCTCACCGTCTCCTTGCCGTGTATCCTGCATCCTCGCCCTGTCTCTCACCACCTCACCCTGTCTCCCACGTCCTCACCACCCTGTTCATTCCTCACCAGCTCTCTCACCTCACCCCGTCTCTCATCCCCACCGTGTCTCCTTAACCCTGTGTCCCACCACCTCACCATGTCTACCTCCCATTATCTCACACTAATCCCACCACCCCCCCCCCCCAATTCTTGCCTCACCTCACCCCATCTCCCACCTTTCTCCCACCTCCCTCTTGATTTTAATTTTCTTGCCGACTTTGATCTTCTCAACTCGTGCAACTTGTGGTTTGGTAAAAAAACGAAAAAAAAGTAGGTAGGAGTTACGTTAAAAAAAAATCTGTAAAAATAATAAAAAGTTATAAAACTGCGCTTGTGTCGAGAGTGCTTGTTGCGTGTGAGTGTGTGTGGGCGAGGGAGCTCCACCAGCCCTCGGCGACTGGACTCGAATCTGGATCCTGCCACCTCGGAGTCAAGCTCACAAGTCCGTTTCGAAATCATGGCGACGGTGGCGAGTTGCGTTTGACGGAGTCGCCCTCCTGCACACCGGGCGTGCTGGAGCGCTGCACACGCGATAAGCGACGTTGCATCGCACTCGTAGTGCACGCGCACTCGCCCATCGGTCACTAGCGGCCGGAGCTAAACGGCGCAGTTTGTAGCAAGCTGCAGTTGCGCGGTGTTAACCGAGGCTCTAACGCTGTGTAAATAAAGTCGCAGTCGACGCTGCAACTCAGAGCAACTTTGTTGCAGCAGCCCGTGACAGTTGCCGCCACTGCACGAGAAATGAGCGATTTGATTGGATAGACTGCCCCTGGCCTGCGAGTGGGCGTTTGTCCACCTGTCGGGGGTGATTGCTGCTACGTGTGTGGTCCCAATTTAGTGATTTGTGAGTGGATTCTTTTGTTGTGAACGACCCGTTGGGTTTATTGCGTTGGTGTGAAGGCGCATTGTGCACGACACATCACGGCTTGAAGGGTTCAATGGCCAATGGATGAGACTGTGGAGACCGGAGGGCAAAGGAGAGAACGCGCGCGAGAGATGGTGAACCGCCCGAGGAGACGGAGCGATGGAATTGGCTTGAGTGCAGGAGTGAGACAGATTGTGGCACTGCAAGTGGGGACACAACGTGATGACTTCATCCAGCAGTGGATAGAGCATGTGCCCGAGAAAGGCAATTGAGGTTTTCACCGGACTGAAACATTCTTATGACGGGAATGCACATTTGGGGTCTCCACTTTCCTACTCTCCGTTTATCGCACGAGTTAAACTGACGTACAGACTGTTATAAGTGTACAACCAAGCTTAATGTGATGGGGGGCTTAATTTATCACTGAAAATGTTCGAGGTTGCTGGCAGCCTGTAGAGTAGTAAGGTGGCGTTTAGTAGCTGCGGCGTTATCATGACGTATACTGGTTGTGGTGTGCTGTGCGTGTGAATAATTTGTGGGTGGGTGACCTGGCTGAGGCCATCAGCTCTACTCAAGGCCGTAGTCATGGAGTCAACATTGGGGGGGACCAAATCTTACAGGGGGTCTGGGGGTCCCCCCCCAGAAAAAAAATCTAAATTTGAAAATGAATTTTCTGCCTAAAATATTAAAAAATTCACCAACACATAGGATATACTTTTTATTTATTTTTTACAATAATGTCTAATAGTGTATTGTATTACATTGCTCTGTTTTTTTTCTTTTTTACATTTTCTTGTTTCATTGTATGTAATGGCAGAGATTAGGGATTAATCAAGTACAACCATAACCACAATCATATAAACATAAATATATTTTAAAGCAGTATATTGGGGGGGGGACATTTTGAGCATATTTGAATATTGGGGGGGGATGTGTCCCCCCCCAATAAATATAATAATTACGGCCCTGGCTCTACTCCACCAGAGCTGATGAGCAGTCACCCGGCCACGTGGCTCGGTGGTAGAGCGATCACCTCGCAGAACTTTGAAGGTCACGAGTTCAAATCCTGGCTGAGTTGGGAGGGGGTTGACCCAGCCAATCATTCCTACCTCCAGGGTTCATAGAGTGAGTACCATACTACTTTGCGGGGAAGTCAATGGTGGTTGTCCTCTGGATATTCTCGCCCCCGCCAAAGGAATGTGGAATTCCCGTCGCTAGCTCAGGGTTATAGACAGAATAGCGCTGCCTCAATTGCCAACTGAGTACAAAATCACTTTGACTTGACGCTCGAATTGAGCCCGTTTAATCAGTGGGCGGCTGGAATCTGGATTGGAAACCCAGCATCTCACTGGCTCAGCGCCTTTTACCCCGTGAACCCCCCCACCACCCGACCCCTCCACACTCAACACATTTCTCCAGCACACTGTGGCAATAACAGGAAACGTTTCATATGCAACGGATGGGCCAATGGTCTTTCTTCATGGCGTACCAATCCCGAGACGCACCGAATCACACCAAAGTCACTTGAACTTTGGCATCCATGTGGATTTGAATTTGGCGGCAAAAGCGTGTGACGTCACAACGCAAAGCGCGTCGACCGCCTGTGTCATCACGCACGGCCAAGGCCATGTGACGTCATTACGCCAATCTGTCGCAACCTTGAGCGCCTTTAAGCTGTCAGCCGTCAACCTGACATAAGGGGCCGTCCATAAATGACGTCACGCGAGTTTGGACGATTTTTGACCCCCCCCCCCTGGTCACACGACGTCACAAAAAGTCAGACCCCCCCCAAATATGACGTCACAAAGCTCTGCCCCCCCCCCCAAATAAAACATGCTTTAAATCGCTTTAAACTATTGTCATTGTAGTACGTATTTAATGTGGCGCTGCACTCTGATGTTGTAGGAGAAAACATTTATTAAAAAGTCTATTTAATTAAGTAGAACGTGTTGTCTATATTTATTTAAAGTTGCGCATTTTTAATGTGACGTCACATTTCTCAAACCCCTCCCCCCCTCGTCGCACATCGTCACAAATGTCTGACCACCCCCTACCCCCCCTAGGTGCGTGACGTCATTTATGGACGGCCCCATACCCGTTTTCACTGAATTAGACCATAACAGCCTTTACGATAAGTTAGTATACCCCTAAAGAGACTTCTCGCTCACTCTTTAAAGCTTGTATCCTAGTGGGTTGCTGGATGTAACGTTGCTTATATTCTCTGACGCTGTTTGGTATTGTGTCTAAGAGACCGTCCATAAATGACGTCACGTTCTACTTAATTAAATAGACTTTTTAATAAATGTTTTCTCCTACAACATCAGAGTGCAGCGCCACATTAAATACGCACTACAATGACAATAGTCTAAATCGATTTGAAGCATGTTTTATATATTTGGGCGGGGGGGGGGCAGAGCTTTGTGAACGTCATATTTGAGGGGGGTCTGACTTTTTGTGAGACCCCCCTCAAATATGACGTCACACATCGTCACAAATGTCTGACCCCCCCCCCTAGGTGCGTGACGTCATTTATGGACGGCCCCTAATATACTCTTACATAAATCACTTTTTGAAGCTAAAACTAAGTATTCTTAAACTCTTAACGCCGATTATCCGTATATGTTTTAACGCGTCCCACCCCCATCATATCAATGTAGGAATCGGGGGATGAAGCAGGGCTATTGCCCAAAACGTCGTCTATAACATGTTTTTTTGCCTCTTAAGGCGACACACACACACGGTGTGTTATTGACAAATGTGAATCAATCTTACGACCGAGGAGTCCAAATATGCAGGAATCTTTAAAATAATCGATGGAATTTGATAACATCTGGAAACCTTAAACGAATGTTTTTGATCTTGATTTGAAGCTTTCGTGACTGCAGGAATCCATACTCTTGGGTTCTTTCGGTAGAGTCACGTAGGTAGAAAATAAAAACTAATCACGACGTTTCGATTGCAACACAAGCAATCATCATCAGGTGGGAAAACTACAGCAATAAGTTTTTTTTGGTCCAGCCGCTGCTGGGTTTGGTGGCTGTAGTGCACAACTCAACACACAACTCACACACAACTAACTTAACATACAATTCAACATACAACTAACACACAACTCACACACAACTCACACACAACTAACATAACATACAATTCAACATACAACTAACACACAACTCACACACAACTAACTTAACATACAATTCAACATACAACTACCACACAACTTACACAACTCAACACACGACTCACACACAACTCACACACAACTAACACACAACTTACACAACTCAACACACAACTAACACACAGCTAACACAACTAACACACAACTTACACACAACTAACACACAACTCACACACAACTCAACACACAACTTACACACAACTAACACACAACTAACACACAACTCACACACAACTAACACACAACTCAACACAACTAACACACAACTTACACACAACTAACACACAGCTAACACAACTAACACACAACTTACACACAACTAACACACAACTAACACACAACTCACACAACTAACACACAACTCAACACAACTAACACACAACTCAACACACAACTAACACACAGCTAACACAACTAACACACAACTTACACACAACTAACACAACTAACACACAACTCACACACAACTAACACACAACTAACACACAACTTACACACAACTAACACACAACTCACACACAACTAACACACAACTCAACACAACTAACACACAACTTACACACAACTAACACACAACTCACACACAACTAACACACAGCTAACACACAACTCAACACACAGCTAACACAACTAACACACTACTTACACACAACTCAACACACAACTAACACACAACTCAACACAACTAACACACAACTCAACACAACTAACACACAACTCAACACAACTAACACACAACTAACACACAACTCAACACAACTAACACACAACTAACACACAGCTAACACACAACTCAACACGCAGCAAACACAACTAACACACTACTTACACACAACTCAACACACAACTAACACACAACTCAACACAACTAACACACAACTAACACACAGCTAACACACAACTCAACACGCAGCTAACACACAGCTAACATACAACTCAACACACAGCTAACACAACTAACACACAACTCAACACATAACTCAACACAACTAACACAACTCAACACACAGCTAACACACAACTCGAGGAATCGATTTTAAATACTGTTTAAGGGAATCACGCGAATGCAAAGGTCTTAGAATCGACATTTCTAAAATCTAATTGCGCCTGAATCGTAGGAATCGAAAGGGGTCGGCATCATAACCTCTTCGGTAACAGAATCGACGTTTCCGATTCCACGCCCTCGCAGCCGGCCCGAGCCAATCGGCGGCGCCCTCACTTGGCGGCTCGGCCAATGGGAGACAGCGATGCGGGCCGCACCCTCCCCACCCCCCACCGT